AACCTGTGTTTGAGATTGTTTGAAATTTCAAAAGTTTTCTTACTTTAAGGTAATCTTGTCTGTGCTTTGTTTTGCTTCTGATGGGGGTAGAGCTGGCGTAGCCTCCAGAAGCGATGGCGATGAGAGCCTGTACGGCGAGAAAGGTATGGGAGGGGTGCTGGCGCATGGGGAGCTCCCACCACGTCTCCTGCACACATCATGTTTTCGCTGAAACTCTGAGTTTCACAGGAGCAGCCAGAAATGGTTAAGGACAGGAGCTCTGAGTGAAATGAATGTGGTGTTTGATGGAGATGTGCTGATCTGTGCTTTTACATGCACTGTATTTTTTTTTTTTCTAGAGGAAATAGGGAGGTCTGCACACTGTTTTGGCCATTTCTAAGATGCTGGCAAACACTTTTGTTCCCCTCCCTTGCTTTTTCTTTCATCTTTTCCCTGGCCTACTGTATTCCTGAGTAAAAGCTGCAGCATAGTGTAAAAACAAAATGCTTTAATGGAACAATGAATCTTAAGATTTGCTCTGCTGAGGTGCAAAAAGGAAATATGTAAATAAAAACGTAAGTGAACCTCATGACATGACGAAGCCACTGTTGCCTCCTTCCAAGTGATAAATCCAGTGTCTGCTACCTCTTTGAGAACAGCCTGTGTGTCTCCTGAACCTCCTAGTGCTCCCAGATTGTGGCCAAGAAGCTTATAATTGCAGCATGAGCTTGCTCAAGGCCGAGTAATCGCATTCCTGTGCACGGTAGCAAGGGCTGGCGGGACCTGCACAGGCTGCTGGGGCTGCTGGATGTATCACAGTGGCCAGAATTGCTTARGATGTTGTAGTTGGGTCTGCATTCTGCTTGTTTACTGTAATTCAAGTTGGGATTCGTAGGGTGGGAGTTGTGAATATGTTGCTTTTAAGTTAAACTGGCAGATGGAAGTATTTTCTCACAGAGCATCACATTGGCTCGTGAAGCATGGAAGTCTATTGTTGGTATTCTCTTAGAATTAAAAAAGATGCAATATGGGCTATTAATTAATTACAGCAATGGTTAACAGTTGGTCATGAAAACAGCTACCTAAGTTATGATGTGTAATTAGTAAGACTTTATAACTGGATTGCTTTTATTGAAAGAGTACTTAGGTTTTCTCCTTCAGTACATCTGATAATGGCTGCTGTAACTACAGAGTGCTAGATCTGCCTTCACAGTATTTAGTTATGCTCGCTCAAAACATTTGGAAATAGGGAGTTATTGTCACTTAAATTTGCATAGTTAATGTCATTTTGGCAGTGATAAAGACTATAAATCTTTAAGTGCATAGTGCGTTGCTCTAATTTGAATGCATAAAGTTCATAAGAATCACAGACAACTTTGTACTTAGTTATATATTGTATATATTATTTATGCATATAAACAGTCAGTCAGTTTTTTTATTTGATATTTTTCTGGGGAAACCTTAATAGTTTTCATTAGACTAATGCTGTAGTGTACTGCACATAGGGCTGCATTTTACATCTGTTCAGAAACTTGATGCAGGTCAAGATGTCTTGTTAGTTAGCATCACTGCTAAGTGAACACATTGGAAGTGGAGCTGTTTGGTCTGCCCAAGAGTAAAGTTGATTTATAAAATGTGGAGCCTTCTAATAGTGGGGAAAGTAGTTTGTTGTCATGTATTAATGTGGTGGATTTTTGCAGAAACACCTGACTTAAAGCTTCTTTGAGATACCTGATGGAAAGTTAGTCAGAACATCTGGAATTTGCTCTCTCAAAATGAGTAACAGCTTGGCCTTTAGTCTTCACTTGTTGTTATTTTGATATGGAAAGTATGGTGAGTAGGGGTAATTCTGGAAACTGCTCTGTAGTTCTTTGGATAATGTGGAGTATTGGATAGATTTTTTTTTTCAAAACTGGTGATTCTGTAGTGTTAGTCTTAAAGATTTTCAGTAATAAGGATTTGTACTCAGTATATTACTTGGTATTAAAAAATAAAATTATTTCAAAGACGAAGAAATCCCTTTTGTTAAAAAAAAATGCTACTTGACAGAAGTAGTTTYAAAAGAGTAGGTAAGGCTGGTTCTTCATTGAACTCCTGATATCTTTAAATCAGCCTGAGAGCTGTAAGTTGTAGAATATTCTTTACTATTTACCATCAAACTACTTGAAGATAATGATGGGGATTAGCTCAATACATCAATTATTGAGTTTATTCTATATATGTGTATTATATTGAAGACAGGTGATAGCTGGATAGGATATAAGATACACCAATTTAAAGTTGATTCTTACAATGCTGTTCTGCTGTATATTGCTTGTATAAAGTGATGCTGTCTARTGATGTGTAACTGTTTTGTGGGGAGAATGCAGTTATTTCCCGAAAAGCCTTTGGCTTACTGTAATGATATCGTAAAGGCTCGTGCTTCAGCGTGTATCCTGTTTTCTAAAGATGTGTGCTATCTACAGAGGCTTCCTGAGGATATCACTTGAGCTGTTTTCTACTCCCAATGCTGAATACTGACTCTCTCTGCTCTACTGTCATTTGTATCTTRATTTCCTATCAGTAGGTAGTTAAATTCAATGTTGACACTTATTTTTGTAGCTAATGAGGTAGAATACCTTATGCATTACAGTAATATATAGCACACTGTGAATTGCAGTATATTTTCTAATTGTATTTGAAATGTGCTCATTGAGAATGAATTTCTTTGTTTTTATAAGTTAAATGTATATTTTTATTTCAGAAAACACTTTTTTCATGAAATAGGAGAACAAATACATTTTTTAAACCTAATTATACTTTACCTGGTAACAAATATCTTCYCTTATGCTTCATAAAAAACACTTAATGGGAGAAAATAAGTATAGCCTATTCAGCATTAGAGGAACTAATCTTCAATATGTGGGATATACCCGTTGCTGGCAGGCAGGGGGTTTTGATTAGAAAAACTTAAACTTCTTTTAAATTTGAGCACTTGAGTGTGTGACAAGAAATACTGTTCCATTACAGAACAGCCACGGTTTTAGCTTTGCAAGTAATCCTGCCTCTTTGTTTTCCTGGTGTGTGGGTTGTGGTGTGTGTTTTTTTTTTTTTTTTTTTTTTTTTCAGTTATTTGCATACTTAGTAGCACTCCCCCCTTCCTGAGTTTGAAAGCAGGCCTTTTGGCTTGGCATTGCAACCTAGTGYGGGGCTCAGTACAGTTATGAATATTTTTCTCAAGTGGGTGATAATTGGACCAGCTAAAAGCTTGCTGATAGTGCTGTTTAAAATAGGCTTTGTGGAATGCTGGTTTCGAAGAATTCCTTGCTCAGGAAGGTTGCTCCGGCCCAGGGATTGTGGATGTGCATATAGAACAGCAAATAGCCAGCCCAGTTGTGAGGACACCTACTTCAAACGAACTAATTCTGGGTGTAAACCCTACTGTCTCAGAGCARACTATTTCATCCTTGACACCGCAGAACAGAGTCTTGAATTTAGTGTCATTTTTCACAGGACTTTCCTGATAAGGTTAATATGAGTAACTACTTCTAGGAGAARGTTTAAACTAGAGGTTTCTGTCAGCAAAACTGTATTTTGGAGTGTGATGAGACATTTCTGACACTGCTTTCAAGCCTTAAGTGCTGTGCAGTTGTCCAGACAGAGCAGCCCTTTTATTGACTTCTTCAGATGAAGGTTCAGATGAAGAGGAGAAGCAAGAGAGAGCTCTACCAGCAAGAGGTGCTACTCGGCTCTTGTAAAGAATATGGAGATGGATGCTGCTTCTACTGGTATATGTGGTGTATATCTGTTCAGTCTTATCTGATTTTCATTCTGATAGAAGCTTTCAAAACAAACTTTCACTTCCATTTCATAGAAAAAAATGGTTTCTGGCATGATTTTTATCAACAGCCCAGCTGTTCTGTTTTTGAACTGTGATTTTTTTTTTTTTAACTCCTTTCTTGGTTATATTAACCTAAAAGAGTACTTTCTCTTCCAGCRTGTGTTTCAGTCTAGGAAGACACACAGAAACTTGTAGAACAATTGGTTAATGGTCTGAAATAGAGACTTCTGTAGGCCAGAACAGTGGCCATGTGAAAGATGGTATTTTCTACAGTATGGGAATTTAAGGTTGAATCCCCATGTAAACCTAGTAGATGGGTGCAGGGCTGATAAATAATTCCAGTGTGCAGCTCAAGAGCCTGCTGTGGCTTTGGGAAGGACATATCTGTTTTCCCTTTTAACAGGTGGCGGGAACAACGGTTGCCTTTGTATTTCTGTTGCTCCCTGCACTACTACTGTGTGGGTGTTTTAGTCTTTTTTTTTTTTTTTTCTCCCTCCCTTTTAAACTTAGTATTTGACAGTTTGGAGTAGAAAGAAATCTGACTAAAGACTTGTAAGTGAAACAAAACTGTGTTAAGGATGAGGAGTGTTTGAATGATAAAAGTTTAACCTTTCAGATCAAACACTCATATTTTGCGGTGAGTGCTTTGCCATGCATCTGTGCTTGGGTTTAATTGACAGGCTGTGCCTTGTGCTTAAGAAAGGCTGGCCTGTGTTTTGGGGCTGGACTGCGTGGTGGCTGCTGTCATCGTGATTAGATGCAGGCTTTCTAGGGCGCTATCTGAGTTTGTCCATTCAGAAACAGGTTATTACAATTCGCCCCACAATGGGCGCTTTAGGGAAATCCAGTCTGAACTGAAGACTGAATAGGCTTAAAGCAGTCTTTGACATAGATCAGTCACCTCTGGTGGGGTTAAATAAGTGAATTGGGAGGAGAGAAGAGCTTACAACTTAGATCCTTTCCCCCTTGGGATGGTTCAGGGAGCATTTCAGTGTCAGTTATGTGGGGAAGTGGGTTATCTGAAAGCCTATGCGCTCTTGTGAGTACTGTTCATTGGAAGCAAGCAGCTTGAAAGAGACTGCCTGTGCAAATACGTGACAATTTTATTTGCAATGTTTTGAATGCATCAGTTTTGACTGAAAGCTTTCTTTAGTTTCGCAGGTTGCTCACCTACAGTTTTATGTGTATGTCCTTTTTCCAGGTGGTATCATGGAAAACTTGACAGAACAATTGCCGAGGAGCGGCTCCGGCAAGCAGGCAAACCTGGTAGTTACCTCATCCGAGAGAGCGATCGGAGACCAGGCTCCTTTGTGCTTTCCTTCCTTAGCAAAGCAAATGTCAATCATTTTAGGTGAGAATTAAGTGCTTTCTTTTAAATACGGTCATCTGTTTATGGTTTTAGATCTCAGTATGCTATAGAAAACAATCATTATAATTGAGTATTTTTGACTTTTTTTTCACGTATGATTTAGTTCTTGGGTTTAATTGTTTTTAAAACATGCTACTTAAAAAAGCAGAGGTTGTTCTGAGTGTTTTCCTCACTTGATGCAGCCCACAGGACATCCTTGAATGGCACAGTTCTAACAAACCCGGGTGCTCTCCTTTCCTTTGGGAAAGAAACATCAAGGGGAAACAAAGAGCTTGTGTATTTAATAATCCGAGGGTTTTTCTGGAACAGCTTTTGGTATGTGCTAGGATTAGTTGCTGTAAATACAAATAGTCCTTTATCCAAAATTGTAGCTAGGATTACTTTACCATTAGCAACTTATGTATATTAATAAATTCCTTTATTGCCTTTAGCATAAGTAAGGTGTGTTCCAGGAAGAGCTTGAATGTTAGTCAGCAAGCAATGTGCTGCAGCGTAAGGTTTATCTCCACACAACAGGGAGGTCGGTGCCTCTGCAGCAACAGAAAAACCCCTGTGTCAGCTATCTAGATAGCAAGAAACTAATGCAAATCCGTCAAGTTTGGAAAGGGAAATGAACCAGGATACCATGTTTGTACCAGACGTGCCCTGAAATGGTGTCATTTGCATTACAAATGAGGGTAGTTCTTGAATGCGTGTCACTTAATGAGCTGCAGCTCCGAGGCCTGGGTGCTGCCTTGACACAAGCTGGTCCTTCTTGGTGCAGACAAAACAGTGCAGAGGAAGTTTACTCATGTTGGCAGCATGCTGCGTTTGAGCTGCCGGTCRCAGCTGCTCAGCTGTGCTCCTTCTGTTTGGGAACTGCTTACTGGATAGCGGGCAGTAGCAGAAAACTAAGCTGTGTCAATACTTGCTGTTAACTGTTGTGCTTCACAGTCGGACTGTACCTTCTGTCTGTGAGCTGCAGCAGGAGTTTGAGTATTGGTTTATGCCACCATGATATGGTTTTTATCTCAGATAGAATGTAGTCTGTAGTAATTAACTGTTCCTGGAGGAAAGGAGTCCTGATTGATTTTTTTCTCCAATATTAAAGAATCTTTCATTCTTAGCTCCACAGAGTGCACACAGAGGTAACTGTATCCAAAGGAAATTAATTATTTGTTGATACAGTTCCTTAGAGATGACATGCTTATGAGTTCATTTAAGTGCAGAGTGAAGGGATTTCTGTTATTAGAAAGGTAATTCAAGAACACTGGCAACCTCAAGAGTGGCAGCCTTAAAATTATTTCAAGTGATTATAGGGTGGATGACTGTACCCTACAGGGTGGAAGTGCCACTTCCAGCAAAACTTGATCTTTGACAATTGCAGGCTCCCAGAGATGGGTGAAGCTTCCTTTGCTAAACAATCCTCCTGATACTTTGTTTCCTAAAAGTGATACTTTTCAGATTAAGCTTCCTTTAGCATATATATATATATATATATTGCAGGCTCCCAGAGATGGGTGAAGCTTCCTTTGCTAAACAATCCTCCTGATACTTTGTTTCCTAAAAGTGATACTTTTCAGATTAAGCTTCCTTTAGCATATATATATATATATATATATGTGCAACTAAAATCCCATCATTTTAGGTGAGAGTCTCTAACTTTGCTAAATGTAGATGTTCTGCTTTAAAAATTCAATGTTATCCTTCCTTTAAAAAAAAAAAAAAAAGAAAGAAAATATAGCAAAATCTTTTCCTCTGTCAAGTTTTTGTTTTTTCCTCTCTCTTCTCCTTAATCAGGATTATTGCCATGTGTGGAGACTATTACATTGGTGGGCGTCGTTTTGCTTCGCTCTCAGACCTAATTGGTTATTACAGTCATGTGTCTTGTTTGCTTAAGGGGGAAAAATTACTCTTTCCAGTAGCACCTCCAGAGGCAAGTAAAAACATTAAGTATTGTCTATTTATGTGTCATTAATCTTGTGCTCCGTGTTCAGGTTTCTATAAAGAAAACACCGTAGAAACATTTATTCTAGTTTTAGAGTCGTCTCAGTGTAAGGTGTATGCAAAGGTGTCCTTACTGATACAAATAATAATCAGAAATGCTTTTTAATGAAAGTATGTGATTAGAAAGCCAAATATGAGGTATTGCAGATATCTCCAGATGTGTGATACTTAAATTGCCATAAGAAAGTGTATGAAGAGCACTATTATAATGCAGTTACCTCTAAAGTTTTACACAGACTTAGAGTATTTCAAAATAATAAAATGTTTGTTTTCTGATATTTTATGTATCAGATATTTCAAAACATGAATTCTGGGAAGAACCAAAGTTTCTGAAAGCTGGGTTTCTTTCAAGTGGTCAGCCTTAAAACAATGTTAGTAGTTAAAAACAAAACAAAAAAAAGAACCCTACAAGCTATGTCCTGTTTCTGCCTTAGGAAAAAAAAAATGAATAGAGATATGACATGAATGTTAAACTCAATGTTAGATATTAATCTGAATGTTTAACTCATGTGAACTTCTCTAAATTAAGTGCCCTTTCATGGGGATTGTTTAATTTGTAAAAAGATGATAACATTTTATCTAGGGTGCTACAGGCTAGAAACAAAATGGAGGCTTTCTTAGCCAACTGTATGTATTGCATATTTCTAATGCATAGAATTTTTAAATTTAAACATTTTAACCCAGCTAGGGGTATGAGTGACTCTTACTAGTCACTTGCTTCCAAATGGCAAAATCTGTGTGGAAGAATCCTACTATAGAAAGGAGAAAGTAACACTTTCGTTCTCTTGTCTTAAATTGTAGCCTGTGGAGGACAGAAGGAGAGTTCGAGCAATTCTACCTTACACCAAAGTGCCAGAAACTGATGAAATAAGGTATGCTTTTAACAAYGAGTAGAAGCAGTTGGGAAATTACTGAAGTGTTTATAAATAATAATGATTTTGGTATATATTCACTATGCAAATACCTTTCATATATTTTTCTATTTCATTTTATGTGTAATTCTTGGAGGTTAAAACATTAATATATGTGTATATATATTTTTGCTTTTCTGGAAGAGATAGCAACTACACTTTTATTTTAGGTATATTGCTTGTATTCTAAGAGAGCTTTATATTTTACATAGCCTTGGATATGAGGCGAGTTTATGTATTGGTGTGGTTTTAAAAAAAGTATTTGATGGGAATGTGTTTGGCATAAAAAGTATCAAGGCTGTTYCCCCGGATATGCTTGCAGAAGTAACTAATAATGGATAAATTGTTCAAGTCAACCCAATCTAGACCACTTGAAAGAGAATATGAACTTTGACTGTCTGATAAACTTAACAAGAGTAGAAGAGAAAACGGTCGTGTTCTAGCACTGATTTTGTTGCCAGTGCTTAGAAATCTGTTGACTTTTTTCTTCTGAAATTCTTTTCTCTGTCCTTAAAATAAAGCAAGAATGACTCTTCCTTSCCTTCTCTTCTCCCTTTCTCTCTTTAAAACTAAATTCTGTATTTAACAAATGATACTCTTAGATTTGTAACCTCCAGTAGTCTTTATTCTTTTTATCACTTAAAAAGTGAATGAATTGCTAGGCTGAGTGTCTCATTTTTATTTTATTATCAAACTTTACATGGTAGTTGCACTTGTAGCTTAAACCTCTCTGTAACCTCCCTTCAGTTTCCTCAAAGGAGACATGTTTATTGTCCACAATGAGTTGGAAGATGGCTGGATGTGGGTTACAAACCTACGGACAGATGAACAAGGTCTTATTGTAGAAGACCTGGTAGAAGAAGTGGTAAGTAATTCTATATTCAGAGCTGTTACAGAAATGAGATTTTGGATGAGGGTAGGGATGTGTTAAGCATAGCATTGAAATAAGCAAAACCCAGCAAAATTTAGTTGCCAGATTTCCASTTACGTGCTTTTTTTGTGTGAATGTTGTTTGCTCTGTGTGGGTGAGTGTGCTRTTTTAGTTTTGTTTGTATTTCTATTTAGTTTTATTTTTATTAATTGGAGCTACCAATTTTGAAGTAGTTTAACCTTCAAGTCTAATTCAGCATTGGAAAAAAGCAGTATCAAACACTTTTTCACACATCCAAACAAGTTCATGTACAGGTGAATGATACTATGAATTTCCTAGACATACTTACCATAAACTCAACTGTCTCTTTAATGAATCTGCTAATCCCTAATATTTGCCACGAATAGAGGGAGGACCAAAGTCTATTTTAAAAACTTTGTGGAGCGTTAATTACCTTGGCTTATATAAATTGTTTATGCTAAGTCAGRAAACCTACCAGGTGACCTGAAGATAGTCTAATTAGTGCAGGGAAGATGGTTTAAWGACTTCAAAAACCATTTTTTTGTAAAGCTCAGCTGTTGCTGTGGAGTYCCTGCGGTTTTCCTGCACGGCCTGTACATTTTCCTAATGGCAGAGTTGGTTTAGCCTGTTTCGCTGAGATCTGTATCAGGATGTGAATGGCTAAATTGTAATGCATTTCAGTTTGAGAGACTGTCCTGTAGACTTTTAAATCAGCAATTGAAGTCAGCATTAGAAAAGTTGAAATGAAAAAGTTGTTGTCTGTAAAGAAGAATGTAAAGCACAGGAGAAACAAAAATCCTCTGAAATATCATTTTGGTTGTTTCCACTTAGTGAATAAGATGAAAATCCTTTTGAGTTCAAACATTTCTCAAGGTTATTAGTGTTATTTATTTCTATAGAAGGTTTTAACCTGTAGAATTTATTTTTTAGTCTCAGGTATACTGTTGTCATGTACTTAATATGTAAATTTTCTCATTAGGGAAGAGAAGAAGATCCACATGAAGGCAAAATGTAAGGATTTTTGTTTTGTTATTAAAAGCAAGTTGCAAAATAACTGTTTGTAAACCAGCTTGCCTGACACTTTTCTATATTCACTGCTGACAGTACATATATCACTAACACAAGCCTTTCAAGTCAGTTATGCCTAAAGTGAATGTGTGTTGCAGTGGTGAAGTCTTAGATAAGTGCCCTTATGCTCACTTCCACTCAAAAGGTGCACAGTAGGAGCTGCTCTTTTTTTTTTTTTTTTATTAAGTAGCCTGTAGTGGATGCTTGGAGCCTAGGCACTGTTGGTTATCTGTTGGTCCAAAGATCTCCGTGCCGCTCAGCGGATTGTAGAGGAGGCACACGGGAATTCCTTCAAATATTCCCATAGCCAGAGTTGTCCTTTGAAGGCACTGTGGTGTGGTAGAGCAATTTCTGATGCGCTAAGAGGCTTTTCTCACCCCTCGCTTAAAAACTGGAGTGACGTGTACACCCTATTTCTGCCTTTTTTTTAAAAGGCAGAATGAAGTCTTAAGGCATAACTATGGTATGCTGGAAATAACCTGAATAGTTGTACATTGACAAACTGCTCTGTGTGGTCATAAGCATCAGCTGAGTCTGGACAGAAACTGCTAAATTTTTATTAGGACAGTACCCTTGACATAGGATTCCACACAAGATGCCAGGTGTGAGATAAAAGCAGCATTCACTAGTCTAACAAAGCCAGGGTCCACTTCCCCAACTTCCAGCAAAGTTCAGTTTTAGTTACTCTGTACACTAATTAACCTTTATATTCCTCTCCTTGTAAGGGCTTTGCATTTCATGATTCAAATTGCCATGTGAGATTGACCTCAAATAAGGCCTAGCAAATTACCTATTGTTTAAACAATGTCTTATCATCTCTAAATACACTTAGGTTTGAGCATCATCAAAATTAATTTCTATATCTGTTACTGTTTGTTTTTCATTTCATTTTAAAACAGAATCACTGAGTTACACAGTGGTTAATTATTCAGTCTATGTGTGTTAAACGTCTATATAAAAAGGTTAATTCTTAGGTGCCAGAGCCTTCAATGTCACCACAACCAAAAAAAAGAGAGCCGATAGTCTTGCTTTCTAATTTTTCTCTTCATCTTTGTTAAGATGGTTCCATGGGAAGATCTCCAAACAAGAGGCTTACAATTTGCTGATGACAGGTACTTGTATTTCAGATGGAAATACTATGGTATTGAAATGGCACAAAGTAATCTGGTGAATATCCAACTGTGGCAAAAATTGAGTTGTGAATGAACGTAAGAATTTCTAATTCTGAGCTGACTTGTAGTTGCTACTACAGAAAAACACTAATCTGGATAAATCTTTTATGGTATCTATTGAGTATTTTTAGTCTCAAGTACAGTTAGTTTCATCATTTTAATTAAATCAGCTAAATGTTTTTTGACTTTATAGTAATTTCTTACTTGTCTTCATCAACATACTGAGTAGAGAGAATGGAAAATACTGTTTCCTCCTTAAGGAGGAGAATGCATCTAAATGACMTGTCCCTGGCCCTCCAGCCCTGCCCCTTGTCTCCCTGCTCTCCAACATAAATGGAAAAATCGAGATTGTTAAACTGTACCTTAAATACAAGGGCAAAAATCTTTTATTTTTTGAAGGTACTTTGTCAGATACTTCTGTTTTGTGAAGAGATGGAAAAATTGTGGGCAGACTATCAGCTACAGCTAAACCATTTTGCATCAACTTTGGCAGTTTTGTAGCGCTTCATCTCATCTGGGTAAAGAGGAGGGGGCTTCAATGTTTGAACTTACCTCCTAGACTTTGTATTTGTCTTTTAAATGTGCGATTCATGGTAATTTATGTGGAAAGGGATTAGTTAAGAGCTTTTGAAGGACACTGTAAAAAAGCAGTGGTGAATAACAGTGTGTTACGATGTCTTTTCAGTTGGCCAAGTGTGCAGTTTTCTTGTGAGGCCTTCAGATAATACACCTGGTGATTATTCACTTTATTTTCGGACTAGTGAAAATATTCAACGTTTTAAAATATGTCCAACGTCWAACAATCAGTTTATGATGGGAGGCAGATATTATAATAGGTAAGTTTTAATGGTTAAAGGAACTGTGTAAAGAATTTATCAAACTTGTTTGTGGTAATTACTTGCTGTAATTATGAGGCTTTGGTATCTTTTCAATAGTACACTAAGAATTTTACCTAACTTGCTTAGTGGTTGCTTATAATTAAGCAAGTTTTAAAAGCCCTCAGAAGCCTTTGTGCAACTTGTTTCTTGCAAAGTATTTTTTCTTTCAGCCAGGTTATTCCCACTATAAATGGGATTGTGGCATGTAATGAAGAATGCTGTGTTGCCTTGGAAGCTACTGCTCATAATGAAGCTTCTTGCAGAATGAAAAKGGAAAGTAAAACAAACTACTTGTATCTGAAACATTTGATTGGCATGTCAAAATATAAATAGTAAAAATAGATATTCACAAGAATGGAAAAAACGATCATTGTTACTGAAAAAKGAAATTATACTAAAGTGTGAATGATACTTTATTCAGAACTGCAGATCGTTTATGGTGAGGAAACTTAATGSTTCGTTCTGCTGTTGGCATTAAAAATACAATAATGGGTACAAAAAGAAAAGGAAATGACAAGTCATGGATTTCTCCTTTCATGGGAAAGGCTATTGGTACAATCCTATCCTTAATAATCCTCTTTTTAGCGTGTTGTAGATTTGAGACATTTTAGTAATAAAAACTCCTCTCCCCCTTTTAATGAAGGCCGTTGTGGGTCACAGAAAATCAGAAAATTCCTGGATTTGTTCATCTGGAACCAGGTTGTGCCTTCATCCCCGTAGACAGTATCTCTCGCTTCCAGCTTGGCTTCTGAGTGGTTAGAGATGCAGGAGTCCTTGAACCTGAGAAAGTATCAAGGTCTCCTAGCTAAGTTGAGCGAATGGCCATACATGTTCAAGTGTGAGCCTAAGCAATTGGAACCTTACGAGCCTAGGCCAGTCCCTGCACAGGCTGCTCTAATGCCTTCTGCTTTAATCCGTCYGGCCTCTAGGCATCCTCGCTGAAAATCAAGCTGGCTGCAGCGTCAGCCTTCCAGGAAGGTAAATGCTGCTTTGGCCATTCTCTGGTTCCTTGCTTCAGGAGGACAGTGGGCTAAAGCCACCCCTCTCGGATCAAACTGGCTAGCAGATCTAGTTCAAGTCTTAATCCTGAACGGTTTTGTAGCATTACGTGGTGTACCTTCAGGAAGTTACTGTGCCTAGTTAGGTACCGCTTACAGAAGCTCTTGTTCTGAATGCTGAAGCTTTTAAATGCTCTCCTTGAAGTGTGTATGTGAAGTGTGTTCATCCCAAGAGTTTTTTTATATGAATATTTTATATACTTATGCTATATATGAAGAGTATATTTTTATATCCTTAAGCACTACTGAGTTATGAAATGCTTACTGTGATTTTTGAATATTTTGGCACTTAAATTGCAGTGATTTGGTAAGAGCTTATAAATGCTATAAAGATCAGCAAGGGTAAACACTGTTTTGTGATATCTTCGGTTGGTCAGGTGTGCAGCTTTCTTGTGAATCTATTTATATAAAAATACATATATACACACACACCACATACATGCAAAATACACCTGGTTTATTATTCTCTTAACATTGTGAAAGAGAATTTATTTAGTTTTGAAAGATTTCTAGTTGTATACGTATGTTCCAGGGTACTAATCTACTCCTAGGTTCAAATTCTGTGCAAGTTCACATTTACTGGATCAAGTTGATAAAGTTCTTGTGAATTCAAATATTCACTTCTTTTGTACACTGGAAGAAGAAAGTTTTTAACTATATGACAACTCATGTGGATTATTGTATAGAACAATGGGAAGAAGCTAAGAAAAATGAAACGGGGCATTGCATCCGGAACAGAGACACAGAAAGTGTGAGTTTATGCAAGTCTGTGTTTCGTTATGGCTTACCTAAAAAGGGAGAATTCCTCTTCATGCTGAAAAGTTTCAGAATAAGGGAGTGCTCTTGCTCGTTTAATTGCATTTCACAGTTTCTGTTATTAGAACTCTGAACTGTTCTATAATAGGCTGTTTCAATAAAGGTTCTCGAGGTATCACCTTTAGTATTGGTTACTAAGACCTATTAGAATCGCTTTTTTTAACTTATCCTTTATAGTAGGGTTGCTCTGAAGCTGCGGGAAGTCGGCTCTGTCCACTAGTCTTTCCCCTTTGCAGGTTCTCCCACCAAATTGCTCACTACTTCTGTTGGTCTATGTAATGAGGAGGCTGTACTTACGATCCATCATACAAGGGTCAACTTTCATTATTTCAGCTCTGCAAAGTAGTCAATTGGTAGTGTTCTGGCTGTCCACAGGAAGGTCTTGGTGTGTAGCATDTAGATGGGGGAATTTGGTTCTACAGTGAATTAGGATTTTCCCAAGGACTTCACTAAGTCATGTAGTTCATGTGAACTTCACTTCTTCCTTGGAGAACATAGAAAGGTGACTACTGAAATAATTACTACATTTTAATGGAAGAAAAAATGCTAAGTAATTTCTTAGTGGTAATTTTACTAACTGCGTATTGTAAAAACTCAAACCTATCGAAGTTACCCCTGGTTATACCATCCTGAACATGCCTGATCTCATCTGATCTTAGAAGGGTGTTTGGATGGGAGTACTTGGGTGGGAGGGTGCTTGGGAATGCCTGGCCTGGTGCTGTGGGCTTCCTGCAAGTGGCCACGAAGGGTCAGGGACTGGAGCATTCCTCATAGGAGGGGAAGCTGGGAGCGTTGGGGCTCTCCTGCCTGGAGAAGAGCAGGAGCAGACAGGATCTTGTCGCTGTGCTTGAGTGTTRGATGGGAAGAAGCCAAGATGATGCTTGGTGGTGCCTTAGTGAGGTGATGGGCACAGACTGAAATACAGGAAATTAGGTTTTAAAAATAAGAAAACTTCTACTACGAGGATGCTTTTACCCTGGCACAGCTTGTCCAAAGACTCCATCCTTCAAAACTTCACTCATTCATCCATTCTGTGATTCCATGAATAACACCGGTGCATATGCACCTGTGAATAATAGCTGGCATATTTTAATGTAAGGTAACATATATAACCTTGACAGTGAGGGTGACAGAGCCCTGGAACAGGCTGCCCAGAGAGGTTGTGGAGTCTCCTTCTCTGGAGATCTTTAAAACCCGCTTGGACACAGCCCTGTGCCCCGTGCTCTGGGTGACCCTGCGTGAGCAGGGGGGTTGGACTAGATGACCTCTGAGGTCCCTTCCAACCTTAAGCATTCTATGATATGGTTTTTAATTCTGAATTTTTAAAAGTGTAGTAGGAAAAGAATACTGGGAAAAGTATATTTTTTCAGCCCCTTTCTCCTCTCTGCCTATTTCCCAAATCCAGCCTATGTAAATGTTCAAGATTCCAGTATTATTCAGTTCCATGGGGGAGATGGAAGACTACACTCCTATTTTTGTTTTCAATCTGGAAATTCTATGTGAAAGAAGATGAAAATGTCTTTAAAAAAAAAAAAAAAGAGAGAAAAGTTGACCCAACAGTTCACAGTGAACAAGGTTTCAAGTTATCTTAATTTGAAAACATGGATTTGATAGATTCATGTTTTAATAGGCTAAACAACATCCTGAGTCTTAATATGTTCTTTAACGATATCTTGAATGCTGTTGTTTAGTTCTGCATTTTGGACCTTTTAAATCACCCACAGAGATTTAAAGGGCTAATACAGCTCACGGTGATACAGTGCTTTTAAAAGTATCTGTATAGTCTAGACCTAGGGCCTATTAAGCCCTATGCTAAATACTTTGCAATTACTGAAAATTAACTGTTATGTGGTATTGAGATTCATCTTTATTTCTGTAAATCAAACCAAGCTTAACTCTTCTTTTTTTTTTTTTTTTTTCCTTTTTCTTTTTCTCTTTTAATTTGTACTTGTATATACCTTCCTGGATGCATTTGGTGTAAGTTGAATTCTTTTGTTGTTGCTGTTACTGTCAGACACTAAAAATGGTTACGATCCTTCTTTCCCTTTGTGGTCATTCTAATCTCACGTTGTGCATTTTACACGTTTAGGTAACTTTTATTACTTGCAAATTCACTTTCTCTAGTGTATTTTTYTGAAAATACTGTGTTCCTTTGTGTTTGCAATGTCTGCTTTGTTCAGCCATTTGGGTTGCTTCAGTGGTAACGCAATTACCGTGACCATGTGAGGTGAGCTCACCTAGGAGAGAAGAGGCCCAAAGGACCAAGCCGTAGGATCGTAACGCAGCCTCCTTGTCAGCTCAGGTTAGGAAACTGGAAGGAATTGGACAATTGCCTCTTATGTTGGGGGACTCCTCCTGGTGATTATTTATGACTAAGAACAGGAGGAGACACTGGCAAACAAGGTATTCTTGAACTGAGGAACTCGAAACGTCATATAAATCTGCGTTATTATTGACTGTCCTCATAAGAAGCTGTTGGCTATAGCTGTTCAGCACAAAATACGACAGAATCAATATATTGTGCAGCGTGATAAGGTTTACATTCTCATGTAGAAAATGTCTTGTAATATTGTTTCTCAAAAATTGAAATAAATTATTTGATTTTAGTCATAGAGAAGGAGAAGTACAAATCATTTTGCACAAGCTTGGCTTTTTTGGAAAGAATCATTGATTTATTAAGTCTACACTATTTCATAGCTATAGGTGAATAAGATTGATAAAAGCTAACAAAGATGGCTTTCTATTGCTTTATTTGTCTTCATTATCATACAATATTCATGTATTTTTCCTGTGATGGATACAATTGTGTTGAATTGTAATGGGCCAGAGATCTCATTGCCTGTCTTGTTGATTGTATTTGCACATACAGTTAACAGCAGTTTTGCAACGAGCAAGTGTATTTAGTATATTTTCCACTTAGTTATTTGATTCTTTATTTTCAGGTTGATATTGTATGTGTATTTCATCTAAGCTGATGTTTATGTTGCTGTTCTTTATTACAACGTAACTTTCAATAACTGCAMAAATAAGTTGGAGCACATCAAAGATATGTTGAAAGATATGTTGAATTTTAGTTTTCATCTATCACTACTTCTCCCCTGATCCTTCAAAACGCAATTTCTATCAGATTTTGGTAACTGGGATGCAAGTTTCCCTGTAGAGGAGTGCTATTGATAGAGATTTTAATTTAGCATGATGGCTCAGTCATTTTGAAGTTTTGTAATCTGCATAATCTGTGTTATGTACAATTTCCCACTCCTGTACTCCTAGAAAAAAATTACTTCGCACAGTGAAGTGTCTCACATTCCCCTTTCCCTGGTTCTCTAGGACTTGGGAAATGATTGCCACTGAAGCAGCAATTGTTGGAGAGCTAGGAGTGCATATGTGTTACTTGAATGAGAAAAATGCTGTGTCCTCATCTGGCGTTTTAAGCAACTAGTTAAAATATTCTGCAGAGTTTAGAATGAATGTGATGAGTACTATTTTGTAAATGTTCTTGACCTCAATGTATTAGTAAGTTCTACTTATACAAATAAAGTATAAGTATATTTATACTTACTACAAATAAATTTATGAAATTTGACATTTCCTTTTTACCATGAATTTGTGAGGAAACTATGATTGTGTGGAAAAGCAAATTTCTCTGCCAAGGGAAAAAGTAAGCATTTTTTTTTTTTTTTTTACTTGAACAGTATTGCTGACATCATTGAACACTATAGAAAAGAACAGATTGTTGAAGGGTATTACCTTAAAGATCCTGTTCCAATGCAGGTAAGGCTCCTTTTGAAGCTACTGACGTAACCGCCATCGGATGTATTTGTAACGTAGGAACTGGATGACAGCAGAGATCAGTTAYAGTTCAACAGCTTTCATCCAGTCCCCAGGATTGTTTTTTCCGTTTGTGTTTGTCTCGTTGTATCCTCACTCCCACTCACTCGTGACAGGCCAGCTCGTGGTCAGTGGGAGACGTGGTGAGCTCTGCCCGTGCCCTCGCGTGTGGYGGCTCTGCCCTGGGCTGCAGCGTCTGCCCCCAGTCGCACCTGGCTCTGCCCTGATTCTGTGCTCTGCCCTAATTCTCTGCTGCCAGCTGCTTTTTTTTTGTTGTTGTTCTCATTTTTCTTCATTCTCATGTTTGTGGGCAGGGTAAAGGAAACCTGTATGCACAGAAAAGCTTCTGGGATGATCAGCAGGGCTAGGATTGCCAGGCATGATCTTGCCCCAGAGCACAGGTTGATCTTAGACCACCAGCAATAAGGCGGCTGCATCACCTGTCTCTTCCATTAGCTTCCAGCTTGCTCTAAATTTCATGTGCTTCTCTTTCCCTCTCCATTCCCAAGCTGTCCTGTTTGAYGGTTAGAAACTCAGTCTTGATTTCCAACCTAAAAATTCATTGTCAGCTYGTACTTTTTGTTACAATTGGAACGATAGTTTTTGGCTTCCCTTCTACTGCATTAATACAAGAGCACTTGAATTCTTCCCTCAGCTCACTGAGCTGAGCATACCAAGATGTTGTGGTTGTGTGGGGTTTTTTTCCCTTTTTTTGCATTCATAATGTTGGTGTGTTTGTGCTGCTGCTGTTAATTCCAGTACAAATTCATGTTCCTTAAATGTGATGGATCAGAACAGCTGGTATCCCATGTCACTAGTAATTCCATTTCTGTGGGAAATACTTGCCAGATATATTCTGGAAAATCATCTGTGTCATTACCATAGCCACATCATGTTAATAACTTAGTCATTCTGTGAATGACTCAGGCATTCAAGATTCTCATCCCCAGCTTTGTACTGGTAAGTGTCAGCAGGTGCAATGTTTGTGCTGGTAGATTTATGTCCCACTGTTCAGCTCTTTCCTGTATTGCCACATGGCCTGTGTGTCATCAGTGCTTCCCAGTTGTCTGGTGCTCTGTAGTTGAGAGGAAAAGGAAAGTGAATCCCAAGACTAATTGTTGAAAAGCTTCACTGGTACCTTTCTCGTGATCTATAATTCCTCTTACATCATGACAGTCATAATCTTCATTTTGGCTTTTTTGCATATCTACTTACTGTTTCTGTATTACTAATTTTCTCTGCCTTCAAATGCTGGTGTGTTCTAATGTATGATTTGACTGCATCAGGTTCTCTTAAGTTAGTTAGTTATATTGACTTTTTTGTTTATTTAAAAAAATAGCAATTGGGATGCATTTTACCTTCCTGCCATATACTGCCACATCTTGTGTTCCTGGAGAGAAAAAAAAAAGTAGTTCTCAGGTGTTATCAGGGTTAGTGTAATGGGTTTACTGCTTCTCATTTAATTTTCTTTAATGTTAGTGTACCTGTTCCTCTCACACCATACATTATTGTATCTAATTTGAAATGCACTTTATAAATTGTTGTCACTAGTTTTGGTGTGTTGTATGCTATTTCTCTCATATTAGGTTATGAATAACATCAGTGCTCTTTTGGGGGTTTATTTTATTGTTTTGATATTGCCTCTAGTTTGGGTGCTGTAGCTTCTGTTACAGAAGTTTTTYTCATCTTGTCTGTGTCATATTAGGGAAAGGGAATAGGGGAGGGAAGCAAAATAGAATATTTAGTATGGAGCCTGTGCATATATCACTCTTCATCTCAATACTCTTCTCCCTGCTTGACAGTCTTGCTTTTTCATGTTTTCTTATGGCTAAAGAACTTTTGCTGATCAGCGTACTCGGTAAGGTCAAACTTGGCTTGACTTTTGGCCATTCTTAGTTAACATTTATGTTTTCGAATCTTGGCTTTCTGTGTGAATTTATCCATTTTCTTTTTCCTGTTTCTGCATTCTTTTGCTGTCTTCTGTTAGAATGCTACTCATTTGGACAAATGAGTGCTAATGTGGTCAGTGAGGGCTTGTGCAGCCGTGTTTGTGAACTGTGATCTGCAGCCTTCTTGTTACTCCAGAGTGAGCTATAGTTAGTGAGTCCCAAAAGCTTTGGGAGAAGACTGTTAGGAACTAGGTARACTTTAAGATTTGTGTAAAATTTAGTAAATAAAAAATTGTGAAGCATTCTGTTTTTTAATGATAAAAGACAGATGCTTCTTTGTAAAAGTTGGTCCATATTTAAAACTTTTTATTCCCATATCATGATTTGATCTAGTCATTATACARGMAATCATTCATATTACAATTGGTATTAAAAGCTATATTGTTTTATTAAAACACATGAGAGAACAGTAGTGGAGAATGGTAGTATTCAATAAAATGATTTTGGTTGCAGCTTAATTGTGTGTAATTGTTTCACAACGATTTCTGACCTTAAAAGATGTTGATTTCTTCCTTGTTAACCAGCATCAAGAACAAGTGTTTAACGATACACTGGATGGAAGAGAAATCTACAATACAATTCGTCGCAAAACAAAGGATGCTTTTTATAAAAATATTGTCAAAAAAGGTTATCTTCTAAAGAAAAGTGAGTTCTGTTTAGTACTTTGAAATGTTTCTCCAAAGTTATGCAGTGGGCTTAATATAGTTTTGCCATTAGAAAGGACAGCACTGAAGTTAAAGGAAAAGAACATCTCACTCCATTTTCTTTTTAAGCTTTCTCTAACCTTTCAATTTTAAGTACATTAGTAGAAAGACATAATACATAAAACCACATGCAATGCAAAATTACTAATTGTCAGGTCTTGTGAAAAAAAATCGGAAAGCAGCCCAAAAACAAAAGTGACATTCAGACTCATGAAATTTGAGTGTATTTTCAAGAAACAGCCATATTTAATATGGAACTCATTCAATTTTAGCTGATTTCATTAGAGAGCTAGAATGAAATGAAACAGTGTGTTCGTTGGTGATCAAAGCTTTAATTTTGTTTTATCAAGCTGGCCAAATAATTAATCCAAAGTGTATGTTATGGACTGCAAAACCTTCACAAATGCACTAGGACTGTTACAGTCAATGCAAAATAAAATAAATGAATTAAAAACTGACTGTTTGACAGACCTCCATGTATCCCTTAAGAATTATTATTAAGTTTTTGGATTTCTGAGGAAGCTAGTTCAGATATCGCTTGTTTTTGTTGGGTTGATTTTTAATCACCTTTAATGGAAGTAGGAAAAAATAATGACARCTACCATAGTTAGGAGGTTAGTGATCTGGATAGCAATTCAAACTGAGAAAGAAGGGTAAGCATCTTTAGCCAAGTGTAAAGAGACATTCAACGGAAATAAAAGCCTCTGAATAGATCAGAAGAGTCTCTCCTGTTGGGAGTGCTGATTCCAAGAGATGATGTGAAGGGATCTGGTAGAGTTTGGGATCAGCTTAGAATGAACTAAGGCCTTTAGCTAGAGCGATAACGACAGGTTTTAAAAGTATAAATGGGAGCATAAGTGTGTGCGGAGAGATGTGCAGTACCCGCTTATAGGAATTCAATAAAATCACTGTGCCATTTAATAGAGCAGGTTGTTTTAACAGCGTGTTAAAATTGCCTTTTCAAAACAGCACTAATGTATGTGCGTTGAGGGCTGTGGTGGGTTTGTGGTCATAGAAGTTTAAAATTAAGGCTGAATATTCTTCTAAGAGGTATTGTGGTTTAAGTATGAATTAGTTACAGAAAGTTTCACATCTTTTAATTTGGAGAGCCTTATGAGTGGTTTAGTCAATAGCCAAATCCACATTTTACATGGAGTATGTCTTGTAGCAAAGCTTGAAGTTAAATCCCCAGCAATTAAAATGCTGCTTTTCACATTTTTTTTCTGAATGGCTCAGTTCTTGGATATAGGTGGTTTGGGGAGATATATCTGATCCAGGATTGCTCATAATGTATTCCCATTTCTATTCTTCAGTTGTACTGTTTTTAAGATATTTTGATACAATTGGTTGTCTATTGGTGAGCTGATAGGAGTTTAGGAATAGTTTTCACTTGTCGAGAGTCCATTTTTTTTATGGGCACCATAAATTGGATCACTTAGTTTCCAGAAATGCCCAGGCATTTCTGGAAAAAAAAGTGCAGGCAGTTTTCCCATGAATGTGAACTGAACTGACCAGGCAGCCAATATGGACTTGCTTAATCCTGTCGGAATTGGTGAAAATGTTATGAAGCTGCCTGAAGCTGTGGAAAGGGTCTGCTTTTAGCTACATGTTGTGTGAAATGGACTATATACTAACAGACATGCACTAATGTTATCACCTGAGTATATTTAACTGTACACCATTCTTGGACAAAAACCTTACTGCTACCTTTTCACTTAGATTATGGGCATTTTGGAAAAAAAAAATATTGTAACTTTTTGCTTACCTTTTCTACAGGTAAAGGAAAGAGATGGAAAAACTTGTACTTTATATTAGAGGGAAATGAYGCCCAGCTTATTTATTTTGAAAGTGAAAAACGAGCCACAAAACCCAAAGGATTAATAGACCTTAGTGTGTGTTCCGTATATGGAGTACACGACAGCTTGTTTGGCAGGTAGGAGGATGGCTTTTAATTTTCAACAACCTAATTGCATTTAGGGCTGTAGAAGTTAGTGTTGYATATGTTTGATGATTAATATGTCTCCTTAGTTGAGAGAGCTGCAAAATAGATTCAGATAAGATTTCTTATGTTAATATGGTCTCYTTGAGCCCTAAAAGAACAAATTCAGAATGTATAATCAATTGCTTGGGWACTAATGCTGAACACACTGTGCATCTTTAAAGCCTGTGTGGGAATAGTCCGTGTTAGCAGGTCTTTTACTTAGGAGCTGATTTGCTTTGCCCTGACTGTAAGTCAGCGATACATGCATATTAGTACTGACTGTTCAAGAAGCTTAAGGTTTCTAAAACATGCTAGTTAGACTAAAGTGCAGCAGGATTTTTATTGCATAATGAGAATCGAAATGAACTGTTGAAACACCTCACARTTTTTCCTGTGAGAGTTCTTCCTTGTTTCCATGTATGATGATATTACACTTCCTTACAGTCAAATAGTAGCTGTATAGATTTGAACATTGTTTTGTCAGAGATCCACAGGTGAAGATATTTGTCAATATTTGTCAATATTTTTTTATCTTTGTTTTCAAGGCCAAACTGTTTTCAGATAGTAGTTCAGCACTTTAGTGAAGAGCATTACATCTTCTACTTTGCAGGAGAAACTCCAGAACAAGCACAGGTGAGAGCTGTTGTTGGTAGATGTAACTAAGTGTTACAAGACAAAAAAAAAAAAAAAAAAAAATTGCTCTTAATGTTACTATTCTGTAGTAGGAAGCAAGTGTATCACAAATAAGTCAGGGCTGTGTTTACATTAGCAAGTAGTACCATGTAGTAGTAACAGATAGGTAAAGAAAAGAGCTGGTGCTGAGAAACCAGCACTTATGCTCCATGCACCTTCATCACCATGAATCAAGTTGTCCACGTTCTGAAATACACCCATTGCATCAGAAATTAAGCTTTGTGTTTGGTTTTCTTTAAAAGAATAAAAGCTGTTGAGAGTACTGGTACTATTCAAATGAGCGTGTRTAAATTTAATGTACTCTTTTAAGTTGTATACATGGGGATGCACAAATTTTCGTGCAACAAGTCACTGAAATGACACCAGAACAGTGCAGTGCCGCTTGTCATGCAAATCTTGATGCACTATCTTTGAGAAGCAAATGTGCAGTATTCTAGTCAATATATGTTAATATGCGCTCTCATGAARAAAGGCTTCAGGTTTTTTCTTACATGTGCAATGTCTTGTGTTTTAAAATTGGAGGGGAAAAAAAAGTCCAATAGGTAGAACATCCYGTCTTGTTTCCTGAGTAAGCCTCAGCTTTGAGGTTTGTGTGAAGCGTTTCTGAACACGGCAGTGTGAAGTGTAGCCCCATGCTGATATCACTGTGCCTGCTATAGCACGCTGCTCATTGAACTGCATGTCAGAGAGCTGCCCGGTTCCTCCACTTGCAGAAGGGTTCGAAAGCCCAGTCCTTACTCTAGGCAGTTCACTTGAAACTAGCTGCAGTTTGGGATGTGTCTGTGCTAACGCAGAGGGTGATGTGGAGGATACGATTGAAAYGGGTTTTCTAGTGACACTGGTCAGTTGACCTTTGAGAGCAGCGAGCAGAATGTTGCTGTGCAGACTGACCTTAGTCAAAAGTGGCTTTTGTGGTTTGCAAGAGCAATGCTAGACTTGAGGGTAGGGCCGAAAGCATAAGCATGAGGCTACATGCACCTAGCATACACCTTTCACAAGTAAAGGCTCCTACCAAGTTCCTTTTCCCACAGCTGTTTTGGAGGTGGTCATGGTAGTTGGCAGTGCCCCTTAGCAGGAGGAAAGCCWTGGGCAAAGACCTACACTCAAGTCTCGTGTTGGGCGGCATGTTCATTTTCCTGTTCAACATGAAATCCATCCACTGCCTGCATTTGTAGGCAGACAGAATCRGGGGTGCAGGGGAAACAGTGTTTCACTGTTACAGCTGTGTGATTTTTTTGTTTGTTTGAAGTATATGCAGTAAAATCTGCTGCAGTGCAGAAATGCTGGAGAGAAGGAGCATGACACTTTTTAACTGACTTTCTCAGAAGTGACCAGGATTGTTTGGTTGTGTGTGTGTCGGGGGGGMTCTTTTCATCTTGTATACTATATGTAATTTAATGCAAAGTTAGCAGACTGGAAAATTGGCAAAGGTCACACTGTATATCCATTATTAATGCTTGATATTTCTAAAAGAGAAAATCCTTYGTATTTGCAAATCCTTTATTTGGTTTTACCAAGTGAAGATATGAGTTTTGCTTTAATATGCAGATCTGCATACTTTTGAATTACATAAAATTTAAGCTTTCCCTCCTCCTCCCCCAAAGAAGCTCTGTTGAACTTGTTTTGATCCTGTTTTGTGTGCTTCTCTCTTAGGACTGGATGAAAGCTCTGCAGATGTTCTGCAGTTTAAGAAAAACCAGTCCAGGGACATCAAATAAGCGTCTACGTCAGGTGAAGCTGTATAGATATTGTGCATTTGGGGGCGGAGGGGAAGAGGGTTTTGTCTCCTTGTTGCCAAATGATACTGATAAGTTTGGGTTTCCCTTTCAACACTAAATCCTGCATGTACTTTTTTTTTTTTGAGTAATGCAGAGCCCGTGTTAAAACAACTGAAAAAAAMCTGTTCTTTGCAATCTGTGTTTGCAAGGTATTTTTGACCACTTTTGACAAAAAAATGTCAAGTTAATATTTGTACTGTCTTATCACTTACAATTCACCACATATGGGAAACTTRGAAGGTTTGACAGACCTACATTACATGCAACAAAGATACAAGTGTAGCTATTTATTTTCAGTGTCATGTACATGTTGAACCATGCCTGTGGCTTAATTTATTTTAGGCTTCTGAGAGTAGTGTTGTGGCCAGAAGAGCTGCTCAGAGGTAGAGGACATAGTCATAAATGGCAAAGTTTTTTATGATTAGAGAGTAACAGGAAGCTTCAAGAATCCCTGGTATCTTTGAGTGCCAGGAACACTGAAAGTGGCTGTTTTAATTAAACAGAATAAACAATAACATGTGATGTTCTTCAAGAAATGCAGAATAATTCTGTGGTCAGAATGTATTAAAAATTAAAAATGTTAAAGATTGAATGCTTCTGAAGGACCAAACTTTGGTATGAAAATAGGTGAAAGTGTATAAAGACCTAAAGGAAACACTTCCATTTCTGTCATTTCAGAGAGACTTGGCTTGTGTTTGCACCTTCTGCACATTACTGTGGGAGCAAAAAAAGCTCATCACATTTAGTGAACATAAGCTATCTTCTAGGGGAGTTAAAGGAAAATTTACCATGAATTTTCATGTAAAGATGTGTAAGCTGTTTTTTGTAACTAATGGCCCTGCATATTTGAATTTGAACAGAGTATTGACTATATATTACCTGTACTTACTGTCTAATTTGATTTTAGTTGGTACCAACAGTAGATATCTGTTACATTGAGCTCTAAATAACATGTCATTTATAAATTTGTACAGTATTAAACCATTTAAAACATTTTTTTACACTAGAAAATTTCAGAGAATTTGCTCTTCATTTTCTGCAAACTTTGAGTTGCCAAGTGCTGTGACTTTGATAATCCAGAGTACAGATGAATGTTTTTCTTTTCAGTGTCGTAACACGTCGTCGTATGCTGATTTTATAAAGTCTGATAGGGAAGCACTAAATATTCCATTGGGTTTGGAGCAGTCCATGGCTCTCATTTAAGATGTCTGTGACTTATTTAAGCCATATAAGTCAGGGTACATAAATCTAGCTGGTCTGTGACGTGGACATCTGAGTCTGATGGCTGTGACTTCAGTGGAATTTTCTGTGCATAGAAGATRATGCTTGTGTTTCCTAATGTCTCATGGATATTGTAAAGGAAAAAAAGATGTGWTTAGAAACGTGGTACTAGAAATTTGTTTTCAGTAGTTTGTATTTGAGTTAATTTGCCTTGCTTACTCAAGATTACTCTTGTTGCTGTTTCTTGTGTTAGGAAATTACAATCTCTATTTGCTGCTTATACATTAACATTAAGCTTCCACAAGGGGAAAAATCCTTTCTTGGGCTTTTTTGTTTGTGTTATTCTTTAGCACAAAGAAATAAATCTTGTGTATTTTCTTTAGGTCAGCAGTCTTATTTTGCATGTAGAAGAAGCTCATACGCTCCCTGTAAAGCATTTTACTAATCCGTATTGTAACATCTACCTGAACAGTGTCCAGGTAGCAAAGACACATATCAGGGAAGGGCAGAACCCTGTGTGGTCAGAAGAATTTGTCTTTGAGTAAGTCTTAATCTTCTTGAATTATTGAATTCAATAATGAAATATGGAATGCTGAATTTCACTTGAAAGTTAGATTGCATTTAAATGTGATGTATAGTGTATTTTGCCTGTTCTTTTAAGAAGTACTGTATATGTGGGGGTACAGCTGGCTGCCTTCTGGCCACTAGTGCTTGGGCAGAAGGTTCTGTAGGCACTGAAGTGTGTCTGTTAGGACAAGTGCCTTTGGCTGATGGTGAGAATTCAGGATGGGAATAACTTTAAAATAACTTTAAATGCTGCCCTAGTATAGTGTTGACTGAAGCTTTTCTGTCTTTTCTCCTAGTGATCTTTCATCTGATATTAATAGATTTGAGATAAGCCTAAGTAACAAAACAAAGAAGAGTAAAGATCCAGATATATGTAAGTATCTTTCTGTAAAAAAACATATATTGCAACAGTGGATGCTTTGTGCAATTGTCATTGTTCTGGTCAAAAACAGTTACAGGAGAATTAAGTGTGTGGTAATTTTTTGGCTTTCATACTATCATATTAGTATGTTTTGGRTGTCTGTTTCTGTCTCTGCATTAATATTTTTATCATGCAGTGAGAACCTGCATGATTTGAAGTAATCAAATACACAGTGATCCTCACCCCTTAGGGCTTTCTTAGCTCTGTTCTGTATTAGCCATTGGGTTATACTGTGACTATGCTCAGCATGAAAAACAGAAAAGTAGGAAAAGTAGCTTGGACTTGAACTATTTAAACATGCATACCCTCACAGAAAAGAAAACAAGGCTGAGAACCTTGTCAGTCCCTGAAGTAAATTTTTTCCCTGGCGTGTTTTTGTCTTGTTTTGTTTTTTTCCTGTTGTATCTCATGTCTGTACTTAACTTATATAGCTGATTTTACACCAGGATWACTTTGGTTGGGAAAGGATCTTGCTTCCTTCAGGCTTTTATAGTTTCCGGGAATTCCCAGCCAGAGAGCTTCTTCAGTTGCTCTTTTGTTTCTGTTCCAGCAAATTAATATCAAGATGGATAGATAATAAGATAATAGCAAGGTATAAAGCTTCCAGCTTTCTAGAAAAGAGAGGGATTGGTTTGAAAAACTCATTTTCTAAGCTTTTAGACATAAGATTCTCTTTTTTTTCTGTGCTAGTTCTCTTGCCACAGAATGTGTTTTTATGCATTTTCTTTTACTCGGGGCACTTTGTTTCCAGTGGCATTTGTTCTGCAACAACCTCAGCCCCTTGCCTCCCCTTTCGCCTCCAGTGAGACAAATCTCCCTGCTGAGATTTGTTAGGAGGRCTTCTCCAGTACGTACAGACTCACTTGTTCCAAAGCCTGGCGTAGTACTTGCCTATTGCTCTTGTTTTCAGTTTGCATATGTGGTGTTACCAGTCTGCTAGGTTGTTATATTTGCCTCAGTGGTAACTTCTTGCTTTTGTTTTTTAATTTTACTTTTTTTTTTTTTGAAGAGAAACCCTGACCAAAGTAGAATCGCTACTTAAATTGATGCTCTTGCAGAACCTAAATCATTTTTAAAACTCTTACCCCCTCCTGTGACTAAAGAATTTTCTGCGTCTTTCTGCAGGAGGAAAGAGAGATATCYGTTCTTATAGACAAAACGACTCTGCAATTGTAATTGTGATTTTATTCTCATACTTCTAGTCCTTTGAGCTAGAAAATTCTTTATCTAGGCCAAAGCCCTGGAGAAGCAGTGTTGTCTTAAACAGCTTCTCCAAAAGGAAAAGAATCGATCTCTAAACACTATCCTTTTCAGCCCTAGTCGTCACGTGCAGCTTGCTCTGTAGTGGGTTAAGTCAGCTTTCCTGCTGTGTAAAGCAGACTGGTCTGGTACTGGTTTCATGGCTTATTTCTGTCATCATCACCCACAAAAGTAAATACCAAAATGGTAGGAGAATGAAGGCTAACTTCTTACAAGTCTTTGAAGTTTACCTATTAAGTATTCATTCTCCAATTACTTTTGATTTTTTTAGATATTTAAAAATAATGGTACTAAACAGCATAACATCTGTTTCATTCGTTTTGTTTTACTAACTGATTTTTGTGTATTCATTTAATTAAATGTATGTGGCTTAAAAATAAAATCCTGGAAGATGAGGAATGTATTAGTAGACTTCTGCCACTAGAAACTGCTGTGCTGAGGTTTTKGCAGACCTTGGAACTAGTCGACATCTTGGAGCATTGTGTGTGTGTGGGGGTCAACTGCAGAGGAGTTTCTGGTTTGGTTTTTGATTTCACAGAATGGTTGATGTTGGAAGGGACCTCTAGAGATCATCTAGTCCAACCTTCCAGCTCAAGCAGGGACAAGTAAATTTGGGATTGTTTCCCCTCTGAGGAAGACACAAGTTTGAACTAATTTTCAGTTTGATTCTCAGGTCAGAATTATTAACCATCAATACAAAAGCTTTCAATGATCCCTACATGTGTACCTTGCATATGCAGGCAAGGCAAGAAAGAAACCCTTTGAGTTAGGGGGCTTGAGAGCTTTGATGCTAGGAAGAAATATTCTAGGAAAGTGGGTTGCTTATCTGTCCAGAAGTCACAGCCCCATCCACTCTTGTGACAGATAGCAGGGGCTGATGAACTGCTTTAGTTCATTTTTGGCTGAACTGAGTGACTGAGACTAACCTTATATCAAATGATCAGCTCCAAACAATATGAAATGTCCATCTGGAAGGGCTTTTCGCATGCATTGTAGAAGCGACAGTGTTCATTTCTGCAGTCTGATTAGGCACTGAATGCCCCAACAGATACTCCAAAACTGGGACAGTAGGAAGTCTGCTAGCGCAGGTGTTAATTCCTGCAAGGCAATGTTGCATAGAGAAGTGGGGTAAAAATGAGATGATTTATGTACTGTGAGTGACTTAGACTTAATTCCTTAGAACAGGAAAAGATCTAGGCGGTCTGACGTGCTACGTGTGAAGCACGGAGCGGGCCCTGTACTCCCTTGTAGGAAGCTGGGCTATTTTATAGGTAGGGTGTTCTCTGCAAGTGTCCAGGCCCTCTGTGCTGGAAGAGCTTGGTTGGGAGAGGAGGGCTTKCTGGGAATGGTCAGCGAGGAGATGGCAGCAGCTCCCTCCTTGGCAATTAGACCAGGCTTTCTGTTGTGGCTGTCCGGGCGAGTTTAGGAACTTTGATGCTAACTCAGCTAAAAGGTGAGTTAATGATTGTGCTGCTCCTGAGCTGGTTATCATTACCTAGGCAGACRGCTTACTGTCCATCGCTGAGAGGTGGTAGAGGCTCCCTCTTTGGAGATATTCAAAGTCTTCTGGACACAGTCCTGTGCCCCGTGCTCTAGGTGTCCTTGCTGGAGCAGRGAGGTAGGGCTAGTTGATCTCCAGAGGTCCCTTCCCACCTCAAACATTCTGAGATTTTTGTGATACTAGGAGGTTGCAAAGAGTTATATTAACATCTGCGTGCTGTTTTCAAATGTATATGTACACCTTATTTACAAAATACTTTTAAGATTGGCTTTTGAGAGTCYGTTAAACCATTGAAGTGATTATCTTTTAATATATTAACAGCATAAATCTTAGTGGGAGGAGGGTTGTTTGTTAATATTCTTAATATTTCAGTATATTCATAATATACTGAAACAAGATGACATGCAAAAAATAAAATGCTTCTATTTGATACTAGTCCTGTTTTGCTGAAAATATCTTATGTGAACAATGCTTTTTTTTCCCCCTAAGTGTTTATGCGATGCCAGTTAAATCGCTTGCAGAGAGGCCATACGACAGACGAGTGGTTTCAGCTCAGCTCCCATGTCCCATTAAAGGGTATCGAGCCAGGATCTTTGCGTGTTCGAGCACGATATTCTATGGAGAGGATCATGCCAGAAGAGGAGTACAGTGAGTTTAAAGAGGTATCAAATTGTTCAACTTCCCTTAATTTGTCTGTCAGAATAATTCACTTTGCTTGAGACGAACTTCAGCAGCTCTAGTTGAGCTTTTAAAGCAGTGCCTGTAGTGACATATAGATGTCATTGTTGTACGACAGCAGTTTTKCCCATAGTGACGACACAGTAAAAGTTTCTGAACATCATCAAGTTCTGTTTTTCTTTCAGCTTATACTCCAAAAGGAGCTACATGTAGTCTATGCCTTATCACATGTTTGTGGACAGGATAGAACACTGTTGGCAGGCATTTTATTGAAGATTTTTCTTCATGAAAAGCTTGAGTCGTTGTTGCTACGAACACTAAATGACAGGGAAATCAGCATGGAAGGTACTGAGCTAATTATTCTAACCTGAAATTCTGAAAACTCTGGGGAGAGAAGGATGTGCATGCTCTAGTGTTTGCTTTTTATTCTCTCCTATCCCTTTAGTTACACATACATGAAATTGTAAGCACAGCACTTTTCTTTTTTGCTCTGGCTTTTGTTTCCTTTTCCTAACTTTTGTTTTTACCTTCTTCTTTCTCAGATGAAGCTACTACCTTGTTTCGCGCCACCACTTTAGCCAGCACGCTTATGGAGCAGTACATGAAAGCCACAGCGACACGTTTTGTTCACCACGCACTGAAAGACTCTATACTGAAGATAATGGAGAGCAAGCAGTCCTGTGAGGTGATAATTTGATAATTTAAACCACGCTTTTAAACATAYTGATTTGTTGAAACAGGATTTTTTATTATTATTTTTTTAAATACTGATGATGTTTGATGTTTACATTGAATACTAGATCTAGAGGCACTTGATAATCTTTCAGAACTAAACTTTATATGAGAAATACAGGAACTGGGCTCATTAGGGTTTTTTTAATAGATGTTGGCTCCAACAATATAGCAGCGCTTTTCATGGTAGCACTTTTAAAATGTTTTTAACTCGCACTTCTTTAAAATGTGTATTTATTCTTTAGCAATTCATTGCTGTTCTGTGGCATRTGCTGAATGGCCTAACCTAAATAGCTCTGGTAAACTTTCTATGTAATAGAAATCACTGTCTGAAGTTGATTTTAATTTATAGCTCCATTAATGCTATGCTATTAGTTGCTTGTTATTGATTCTGTCTTCTTTCCTGAACTAACCCTCTTTAACTTTTGTATTTCACTCCAACTTAATTGCAGAAAGAATGGGAATCCTCAGATGATTGGATTTAAAGATATAAAAAGGTTGTTTAGATGGCCAGTGTGAAATGTCTGTGCTACTAAAAGCTATGAGTGGTATACTAAAACATAAACACTGCTTTTTAATGTTAGTTTTCTGGCTGGCCATTGAAGCAAACGTTTAAATTCTCTACAAATCTGTGACTTGTACAGCTGCAGTGTTAATTTACCTTGAAATAGTATCCAGGGTGTCATGTTATCCAGTTACAGATACAGTAATTTAGAAGAAACTTTTCTACTTTTTTTCCTCTTTTTCTTCCACTTTTGACTTTAGTTAAATCCCTCAAAGTTAGAAAAAAATGAAGATGTAAACACTAATTTGGCCCATCTACTCAGTATACTGTCAGAATTGGTGGAGAAGATATTCATGGCTGCAGAGATACTGCCTCCGTAAGTATGCACCCTTCTGTTCAGGTTTGTATGTGAAAATTCCCATTGCACCTTCATGGTGGTAGTATTGGTTCCTCTTTTACTAATTAGTCTTAAATTCTTTAGGGTTATTAATGCTCAGAGGGAAATATATACACACACATACCCCCCCCCCCCATATGTATGTGTGTATGTATATACATGTATATGATGGGTGGTAGTAGAATAACAACTATACTTTCTCCAATTTTTTCTAAAATCTAGTTTCATAGTTTGGAMTTGAACCATATGATAAAAACTGCACAGTACTAACAGTTTTATTTTACTGTTTTGTTAGTTTTAATGTAAACAAAATTATTTGGAATAGCAGAGTAGCATAGAAATCTCCTGTGTTGGTAACGGGCAAAGCTAGTTACCTCTTTTGTCGTAGATGATGCAGACCTCAACATTTTTGGAAATACCTCACAAGTTTATCTGCTAAAAGAGGTGTCTACTGAGGGAAAACTTTCTTTGCAATTTGTAAATTAACTACTTTCAACTACTGTCTGCTTTCTTTGCCATTTGTAAATCAACTATCACATAAGATCTTTAATTTAAAATTCATGTCTAAATTATAAGCCCAAGTGTCATGCTCATCAAGCACAAGATTAAACTAGATCATTTYTGTGGGGATCTTTTGGGGTTTTCTGTTTGCTTGTTTTGTATTTGGGATTTTGTTTGTTTGTTTTTGATCCTGCAAATTTTAATGGAAAGCCTGACTAGCTATAACTTTTACAGAACGTTGAGGTATATTTATGGGTGCTTGCAGAAGTCTGTTCAAAACAAGTGGCCTGCTAACACCACCATGAGAACCAGGGTTGTTAGGTAAGTGACTTGTTGCTTTTTGTTGCTGAAAATAATCTTTTAATGTCTTATTGAGACAGAGCTCAACTTTTCTTGTTCATCGCCAAATCTTAKAGTACTTGTATAGTTTGCGTCGTATATATTGCTGCAGCAATATGGAAGTTTTCAATGATACTGGGACATGGTACCCCGGTTGAGACTTGAGAGCTTGTTGGATAATGGTTGGATCCTTGCCTGAAAATGTGCTACAGAGGCCAGCACAGTTTTACCTTCCAATTTTAACTGCAAATTTATTTGTRTTTTTTAAGTTTTACAAACTAATCTACAAAGTTTTCCAATTTCATGTTTAGAAAGAAAGGCTTCAACCAGTGATAGATAAATTTTGTGGTATTTGTAAAGAACAGTGACTTCTGAAGTTCTCATTCCTGTCACTTTCCATCTGCCCCAGTTCTGGCCCATGCTGAAACATCCAAAAGCCTCCCCAGCGATGGCGAGAGGCTGCAGAGCTGCTGTGAAGGCGTTGCAGGCCACCGAGCCTGGCTGCTCCGAGCTGCCTTTGAGTAGGAAAGCTCCTCACCTGAGCGCACRAATCTCTCCCTTCGCACCATCGTTGTCCGTGCAGCTCAAATGAAAGTCTTTGAGGCTGGGTGAGACCTTGGCCCAATTTTTGGAAACGATACTGSTGGTTTAAGGGTATCACAGCCACTTCTTTCTTTCCCTTCCTTTATCTTTTCTGTAGGCCCAACTTGGTAACAAGTTGGTGATGTTTCGCACTGAGGTGATTTGCTAGGACTAATCTCCCATTKGGCGGGAGTCTTCCAGACAACTTGCCTTGCGCTCTGCTTAATCATTTTGACACCATAAGTCTTGTCCTATGTYACTTAGTACTTCCTGCAGGCCCTTGGCCTTCCAATTTTAGGCCGCCATCACAAGAGGTGATGGGATGGCCTCTTGCAGGGGGCAGAACACTGAAGTGAGTGCAACATGTCCCAGAATCACAGAATGTTCAAGGTTGGAAGGGACCTCTAGMGATCATCTAGTCCAACCTTCCTGCTCAAGCAGGCACACCTASMGCATGTGGCACAGGGMGGCATCCAGRCRGGTTTTGAAGACCTCCAGAGWAGGAGACTCCACAACCTTCCTGGGCAGCCTGTTCCACTGCTCTGTCACCCTCACAGTAAAGAAGTTCTTTCTCACCTGGAGRTGGAACTGCCTGTGTTTCAGCTTGCACCCATTTCTCCTTGTCCTATCACTGACCACCAATGAAAACAGCTTGGCCCYTTCTTCCTTACATTCTCCCTTCCTGAACTTATACATGTTAATCATATCCCCTCTCAGCTTCTCTTCTCCAAGCTGAACAGGCCCGACTCACTCACTCCTTCCTTATATGAGAGATGTTCCAGTCCCTTAATCATCTTTTTTGCTCTCTCCCTGTTCCTCCCCACCTTCAGAGAGCCCTTGGCTTGCCCTAAGTGGATAYGTTCAACCGTTTCCCCGGTTTCCAATATGTACAGCATCCAGAGTTTATGCTGGATGGCAGAAACATTGAAATCTTCTCCTGTCCCTGGAATCTGCACAAGCAGATACTTATGACTTCTSTCTGGAGTACAGAGTCTTCGGTGAAGAATATGGTCTCATTGTGCTGTCTCTGGTCCGTAATAAAGTATGATCAACTAAGTGGGCAGTTTAAGTGTCTGAGCAGCTACCCTGAAGTAAGGAGCTGCTGTGTCTGTCTGGCCAGGCCTTGCCCTGGCTGCAGGGGAGAGCCCTTCTGCAGGTGCCATCACGCAGGTGGCCAGGTTGCTTCTGCTGCTTCCTACATGGCTTCATGGTGGAGCAGCCGCCTTCCAGAGGGCCGTGCTGCTGTTAAAAGAGCAGTTGGACCGTTCTGGCTGTGCACTCCTGCTTCCCGGGGTCCCCTTGGGAGAGCAGGGGCYACAAGATGAATCACGTGCCCAGCCGACACAGCAGCGCTTGGGAGAGCGGGGAGACCAGGCGGCACTCTGGCCTCAGGCCAGCGTGGCCCTGCGTTGGTTTCAGGCTGGCTGTTCAGKGCGAGTTGCTTTCCAGATTCCGCTTAGTTGGGGAATCACCATGCCTGATTTTCAAAGTTTTGTCTCGTTTTAAATCATGAAAACTTTCTTAATTAACAAACATTTTCATAGTGCAGGCTGGTTGTTATCTATATAAAAAAGATTTCCACACTGACTTGAATTCTTCACTGCTTAAAAAAAAATTGCATTAATTTTGATTTTATTATTGAACAAAATGCACTTTTCTTCCCATTTCAGTGGCTTTGTTTTTCTTCGGCTGATTTGTCCTGCTATCCTGAACCCAAGAATGTTTAACATCATCTCAGGTAACTATCTGCTTCAAACTGGATTCATACTTTACACAGTGTAACAGTAGGGAATTGTCTTTAGCTTCTACTCTAGTAAAGTTCCGTGAACAATGCCCAAAGTAACGTTGTCCCCATCACTTGATTTTTCTCCCTGTGGGAGCCAGAGGGTATCTCAAATGTTAGATATTGTTTGTCCCCCGTGTCTTGTTTTAAAGTCCAGATAGTGCTTGGTGGTATTTAAATGATGTAACATTGAACTTCTGAGTTGGTTTGGCATAGTCTTAGTTTGTTTAAAAACAAAAATAGAGAAAAAAACAAAAAAATACAGCTTGTGGGCTGGTCTTCAGATCTTCAAATAATTTCAAATACAGTGCAATGCCAAATTTTACAGCTGAAATTCAGTTTTATGTCTAGAAAATAAAAAAGATTTATGTAACTGAAAATGTCTGCAGAGCCTGGAATATGTCTTTGTACCTAGGAAATGATGCTGGAAGAACTTGCCTGAAATTCTTGTTCAAATAACTTGTAGGCGCTGCAGAAATCTTTACTTTTGCTCAGCAAATATGGCCAACSTCAAAAGAGGAATTGTAAAAATAAGAATGATTCTTAAAAAAATAAGAAGGCTGGGCTGACAGTCTGGTTCCACTGAAGCCGTAGGGAATTCCTCCTGCTGTGTTGGATTAAGGGCTTTTTTTACAGCATATGGAAAGCTACCCTGTTCTTTGGTGCTTGCTACCCAGAGGGTGAATTTGGTGATAAACGTGGCAGGGAGCATTGCTGTTGGCAAGACCAAGACCACAGAGCTGGCCGGGGCACCGTCCTGGCCGAGGCTACGTGTAGTGTTTCCCCAAACAGTTCTTGGGTCAGATGTGGGTGTTGCTGTAAATCGGGGACCACATCTGACATGGCTTGTGGGGGTCTTTCCTGCTGCAACGCTTTCATGGTGAAGACATGGGTTATTCCGTGCTAGTTGGCTTAAGGACATAAAAATATGTCAGGCTGTTTTTAAGTTACAGGTGTGGCTTGGGTCCTGCACAAGCACCAACTATCCCATTTTTAATGTTCTTCTAGACCTAAGGCTGAGCTGAAAGGATTTGCTATATTCCTCAGATGGGAAGAAAAAAAGAAAGGCATAAACTGCTGGTGGAAAAACTATTATTAAAATAGCGAGCCATCCATTAGTTTTTAGAAGTTTGTATATGTTGCATTCCTCTAGGAGGGGAAGCAGGGGGTTAGGGGCAAATGTCCTCCCAGCTTAAAGGGCACTCCTCTTCCAATTTTACCAGTAAATTCCTGCTTTGAAAATGGGAAGAACTCCAGGTGATTGTGTGAGAAGCCCTTCAGGAGACACGTGTGCCTGCAGGGGAGAGGGGGCACACGCGTTTCCAGCCACGCTGCTTTCTGTGCCTCTTTCTAGGCTGTGCCGAATGAGAAGGCCAGCACCAACTGGAAAGGTCCTTTCCCTCCCCCTGTAATTTTCCTGTGTGCTTTGGGGAAGGCATTTAAAGAAAAYGTGATGTTGTGCAGTGTGCAGCCTTCACTGTGTTGTTCGGATAATGGGCGAGTTTCTGTTGGACTTGGGAACTGCATCAAGTCTACTGGGTCTGTCATTGTAATAGAGCTWGTACCCAGGAATGTGCACAGATCCCTTTTAAGCTGGTCAGTAAGTCCCATTCTTGATTATTGCCTAGTAAATTTAAGCGACTTTATAAAGCTCCCAGGGCTACTTAAAAATAGGGGTGGAGGAGGGGGATCTTTGCTTTGGGAACAAAGCTTCCAACGTGCAGCCTTCCCACAAGGGAAGAAACACGAAGGCAGTCGGGGTGTAAAGGTGCCCGTCGGTTTTCAGCAGCACCGTGTCCATCCTGTTGCCCCCACGGCTCTTCACAAAAATCGTGTTTCCAAAGCGAGCCCTGGGGTCCGGCAGTCTTAAATGAGCTTTTTTAACTACTTGCAGATCTGTCCTCTAAGACAATGGTGGTCTTCTAGGCACCAATGCTGCTTGGTAGGCATGTAGGATAGCAYGTGCTGGGTCAGAATCAGAATTCAGCATCAGAATACTGAGGTTATGATTTAGCACCTCAGTTTAAGCTCCAGCTCTACATAAAAAGCTAGATACTATTTTGCACTGGATTGCAGGGCTAGGGGAGGGCAGGGAGGAAGATAGGTCAAATAATGCACATAGACAGTGGACATTTTTATAGCATTCTTAGGAAGAATTGGAATATACTGAATATGGCAATTTTTGATACTTTTCAGTGGCCTGTAAGAGGAAAGCTAGGTTTGACCATAATTATTAATGTGCATATGTTTGTTTTAGTAATTAATTCCAAAAAAGTTTTACTTCAAGTGCTATTTTCACCAGGAAGCTRTAACATGCAAAGTATTCAGTGATAAAACTGTATTGGAGAAGAGCTCAAGTTTCCTGTGACTGCTGGTAGATTTAAATGAAGCAGCTGCTGACTCTGTGTTTTCCTCTCAGACTCTCCTTCCCCTACTGCTGCAAGAACACTGACGCTGGTCGCCAAGTCTGTGCAGAACTTAGCAAACCTGGTGGAATTTGGAGCCAAGGTGAATATGTTTTTTACATGCAGACAACAGCACAGAAATCTGTTGCCAATRTGTAGTTCATGTTGAAAACAGACATTAAATATGGGGCTGTTTTTCTTGCGCAAACCCAAGTATGTGGCCTGAGTGCCCTCATCAACCTGGAGACGTTTTTCCTGCAGTTACTTCTGTCCTTCCCAGCTGGAGCTAAGCAGGGATTGGATCTGAACTACATCCAGCAGCAGAAAGTGGCTGAACAGGAAAGAGGAGTCATAGCCATTTGAGTGTGAATGAGCTAGAAACCTGTATTAATGACTTGCTACAGCCCCTGCAGATTTTTGAACCTCATAGCAGGGACATTAGAATGGTCTGTTTAAAATAGTTGGTGAAAATGGTCTGTTTAAAATAATTGATGAAGTGGTGACCATACCGGTAGGTGTAACAGAGTCGTGTGCCCATGCTTTGGTGCACAAGAGCATAGATAAATTCAACAGGTGTTTGTTTAAAAACAGAAAGTGCAGTGGAAGCACATTGACTTTTTTTTCTGCCTGAGCCCGAAAGGGTCGTGCTCCAGTGTTTTCTGTGTGGGAGTTGGAGAAGAGGGAAGGTAAAGGCAGGCAGGCAGCCATCCACAAAGAACATGAGCAATGATAGTAAAACGCCTGGATTTTCCTCAGGAATGTCCATGTCAAAACAACAACTGAGAACTGCTAGAGCAGGAGTCTGTGACCAGGAGGAGATTCAACCAGGCCCAGAGTAGATGATGGATTTTTTTTTCTTTTTTTTTTGCATTTTGGCTGGTTATTTGAGGTAAAAAGGGAGAAGTATCTTCCAGTAATATTGTCATCYCTCTGCACAGAACCTTGAAATACATTCAATGCCCATTTTTAATATATACTATATATAGTTATATATAATATATTATATATTAGGACATACAATATATATAAATAATAATATATAATTGTTATAATATAACAATTGGCTTGCAAATTCAGACTAGTCAAATTGAAACCTACCATAACTCCCAGGTGCGTAYAGAATATTTAGTTCTGAAACATATGAACAATTGAAAACTTCTTTTTTAAATTATTTTTTTTCCTCTCCTCCTTTTACTCTGCTTTTGTTGAGTTTACTCCTTAGGGCAGTGGTTGCTGTTCTAGACCCYCTCTATTTGTATTCATTTTCATAATTTGACATAAAGAACCTGGTAAATCAGTTTGATAAGTTGCACTAGAAAGCCTCGGCTTTCAATCAAATTTCAATTGTAGCACTAGGAGAATGAGCCAGTAACAACTGGTCTGTGTCAGTTCMAAAGCTGCAACGTGGATGAACAATAAATCTGTTGGCTTAAGCGTAATGAAAGAAAGTGACTTCAGGCTGCTGCTGTAAAGGTAGTTGTGTGACACACAGCTTAATGTAAGCACTAATGAAAGAACAAAGAAGGCACTTATGTCTGATGCTGTCTTTGAAAGTACTGCATTTTTTTTATTGCAGTCACTTAAGTATTTCAGAAACTTTGTCTGTGGGCAGATGTTAGCAAACCATTTCTGAACTGATCTGCAGTACAGAAAATACCATCTTCTGACTGGTTGCTTACCAGTCCTTAAAAATTTGCTTGAGAATATAAAATCATTGCAGGGGATGTGCCTGTCTTACAGCGTCACTTGTCTCTGATTGCAGCATGTGCATTCCAGGTGTGACTTAACTTTKTATTGCTTTGTTCTAATAAATCCTTCTAAAAATTACTAGGAACCGTATATGGAGGGTGTAAATCCATTCATCAAGAGTAACAAACATCGCATGATCATGTTCCTAGATGAGCTTGGGGTAAGTGAATAAAAAATAATGATAAATTTTATTGGAAGCTACATAGCAGGACAGCAAATGAAATTTCTGTACGGTTCTTAAGTAGCTTAAAAGTGGATCCATTTCCACATAGTTCTGAACACTTGTTACTGACTACATTTCTTACATGTGCAGAGAAACTGCACATTGCTGGCCTGTCRCACGTAGGTAAAAGCATGAAATGTTCTGTTAGATTTTGCTCATATAGTATTGCCTGAATAGCTCAAACAAAACCTTTTTCCCCCCAGTGGATTTTAGCCAAAAAATACTAATCATTTAAAATATTTTTTTAAAACAGAAAATTGTTTAGTTTGTCCTTTGACTTCAATCAGATTGCAAATGTTCATGTTTTTAAAGAAGCATTAAATTTCATTTATGCATCACAATGTCTTACTGCATGCATTCAACTTGTAGTTTAAAGGTAGATAGTAAGTGCAGTTATCTTTGAAAATGTTTTGTGTCTGATAGCTATATCATACTCAAGCTACAGTATTTAGGAGTTCATTTTACATGGATTTTTTTAAACCAAGAATTTGTTTTGAAACTGAAGATGAAAGAAATATGACTAGCTTCCTAACTTGAGTCCATACCAGATCTAGAAGGTATCTTGGAATATTTTGAGGAAATCTATAAAAACAAATGTTTTAAGGCAGAGCATTCAGCTAGGCTATCACGTGTCACCTTTTTTTCCTAGTTAAATGGCAAGTTCTGCATGTTACGATGCATGAATTTTTCTTCTTTTAAATGTCCAGTTATACATGAAGATTCTGAAAAGTGCTGCGTTTAGTCTACTGTTGAGTTAATTGGCTAGTTTAATAACAACATTTATTTCATGAGTAGAGGACAAACCGGAGATGAACCTCTCTTCTCGGTAGCTTTCTGGTCAGCTCATGAGCAGACCAGAGCACCATGAGACCTTTCAGTAGAAGGTTTTTATAGGAGTAGATTCTGTTAAATCTTTAGTAATTCCTTCATGAGAAACATCCATGCAACCATCAAATGTCTTCATAAAGTTGGTGTTGGTGAAGATGGGGAAATGTGTAATTTGCATGAGGTTACGTGGATGGCAGACTTAACGGTGACGAGTGGCACTGCAGCRCGGGCAGTATCCGAACAAGTGGTCTGCAGCGCTGTAGTTTTCATTTCCGTGATGGCCGGCCGGGCGCTCGCGCTAAGTCTGCTCTCGCCCTTCCTGTTCCAGAACGTTCCCGAGCTCCCAGACACTACGGAGCACTCCAGAACTGACCTCTCTCGTGACCTAGCCGCCCTGCACGAGATGTGCGTGGCGCACTCGGGTGAGCTGCGGACGCTCAGCAACGAGCGGGGGGTCATGCAGGTAAGTGCCCAAAAGCCCCTGGCGGCAGCTTTGCCTGGAGTTCCCTTGGAAGTGCTTTGGGATAGCAGTGGTGTGGGCGATAGGCATATGGGCACTTCACAAAGAGGCAGCTGTAAAGGTAAAAAACGTAACRCATGATTTTAAGTTTCTTTATACAACAGAATGAAACAGGCTGTAAAGCTGTTTCTAAGGCCTAAACAGGCTGTAAGCTGGGTGTTTTAAGTCTCTAGAGAAAGCTTTTAGTTTCCAGAGGAAGCCTAAGCCAAAGAAATGGTTCTCTAGGTCTCAAACGTTAGTGTTTTTGTTGTTGTTTTTTGTCTTAAGTTTCTGTTGCTAAATCATTTCTACTTTCTGATTCATCACACTTGTGAACAAACATGTCAAACTTGTAGCAAACACTATAAGCATCTTGCTGCAATGATTGAACTCATATACCGCTTTTATGCAAACTTCATTTTTAAGGTGAGGGGAAAAAAATCAAATAACTACATGCATTGCTCTGGAAATTCTTGCTTATAGACCGCTGTTTATAATGAACTTCAACCAGCCACCATCTGCTTCAAGTATCTCTACATGTGCAGTAACAATCAAGTAACAAAATCAAGTAACAATCCAAATCGAGTAACTTCTTGACAAAGAGGTCAAGTTTTGGGATAGTTGTTAATTTTACCATTTCCAGACATCTTATAAATCAGCTTTCTTAGCCTTATGTTCAAAGACCAGACTACTTCCATCCTGACTTCTGTAAATTCTTCATGTAAACCTACACAGACCATAAAACAGTGTTTCTGTTTTTTGCCTGACAGCAGATGACTCAATATTGTATCATTCAAATATATAGTTCAGCAGTAAAGCTTTTTTTTTTCCTCCCCAAACAGGAGGGTTACTGAGAACTTGTGTGACTTTTGAAAAAATACGAAAATGTATTTGTATTTTAACTCTATTCTTTCGTCAGAAGAAAACTCAAGGAATTGGAAATGAAATTCTTTCATTACAGCAGTTCAAACCTTATCCAGTTTAGTTACTAAAATTTACTACTTAGCGGCATGTGAGGGAGAACAAAATGACCCACGATCGCATTTCTAATTCACTCAAGTAGTGATCATCTTGACAAGACAAAAAGATGGCCAGATTTGCACGGCAGGCTACCAGCAACATTCAGCACTAAATGTATTTGATGTTGATAAATAAGGGCCATCTTTCTATTTTTGTGAAGGCTTGTCCTTGAATAGTATGTGTAAGTGGGATTAAAAATCAAGGTAGATCTGRAGTACTCCAGTGATTTGAGATGCAATATTCTCTCCTCGATGCATTTATTCTCCTCGAGGGTTTCTGTAAAGAAAATTATCTTGAAGGGTGTTTTTCTATTTTTATTCTGTCAATAATAGCAATGCCTTACCTTGGTGACCCTGAACCATTATTTTTAGACATGGCTCTGCTGTGATGATGGGAAGACTGGAATCACAAATTTGTTATGAATATACTTTCCTAGCCTGTCTATGATATATGTATGTTCTGTCTGAATTCAAAATTTTTGGGGAAAAAAAAAAGTATTTTTTGGATGTACATGAAAGTAAACTAGACTGTCACCTTTTTTATAGTCGTAGGATTTTTTTTTTTCATTTTCCTGGCCCAGTTCTGCTTTAAAACATGAAGAAAACTGAGAATAAAACTCTCACTTTCTTGTGCTAGGTTTTCTGCTTGGTTTCATGTTGAAACTTGCAGGTTAAGTTGACAAGATGTGTTGGCTGTCTTCAAAAACAGCCAAACAAGATGATCTCATGAGTGCAGAGGCAAAGTACATCACCATTTTTTACAGTTGCTTTTCAGAATATCTCAGCAACCAGCAATCAGAGCTGTTTCCTTTTTGTATTAGGTTTATAATGTAAACATTTATAAAATAGTGTAGAAAACATTTTTAAAATGTTTTTAGCAGATGGCTAGTGGGTCTGGTAGAGTCATGTTGAAAGCGTTTCTGCAGCAGTGAGGCTCATTTTTCCTGATCACTACTCTACAGCTGTACTATTTTTTCTTCCCTACAGCATGTTCTTAAGAAGCTGCTGGCTATTACAGAACTGCTTCAACAGAAACAAAATCAGTATTCAGTGTCCAATAACAGCAGGTAGCAGCCCTCTACCTGCCCTCTGCATGGATCCAGCACGCCCAACATGGCAACTCACACCAGTATCACTTTCTTCTTGCTCTTGCCAAAAATAGCACACCCTGTCACGTTCCCAGTGATGTGTGAACTATGCAAAAAGAAAACAAAGATTCTGTTGGTGAATGATTGTACCAGCAGCTTTTTAAGCTATCTGTGCAGGACATTTGCACTTTTTTTTTTCCACTTGGAACAAATTTTCACAACCTCTGAGCCTTGGTGTACAGTTCACCTTCCGCAAAGAAAATGCTGTGACTGTGTCTTGAACTCTGAAAATTATTTTCAGCACCTCCAATTGCCAAAGTTTTGTTGTCTTCTTGGAAAAGAATTATCAACTGACAAGGAAAGAAACTCACTGTTTTGACAGCTGCATATAACTGGATAACACTTCTTACTGTAATTTCTGACTGGTTACAACTATTACAACTTTGACTGTTTCAACCACTTTAACTTGTATTTACAGTTTCTGGAGTTTGACGTTATGGTAGGAACAATCTTTGCTGTACACTTTTTATACCATGCTGTTTCTCTTGCTGGAATCATGTTGAAAGAGAATATGCAGAATGGGTCTTGACAGCTTTATTTTTTAATGTGCCACTGATTCAGTCTGAATAATTCTTCCATCAAGGACTGTATATCCAGATAAATCACAGTGCTTTTGTAAAATGTTTACAACAGTAAATAATTTGAATTCAGTAAATTTATTGATCATTGTATCAGACATGCATGCATTCATTAAACCATTTTATAAAATATGTTCTGGTTGGCCTCTTGTGTAATGTAAGTCAATCATGAATTTTATTTTTATAACTGAACTATTTTTTTTTAATAAATCAAGTTGCAGAGAGCCTGTTTATAGAAGGTGGTAATTTGGGCTGCTGTGGGAATTTTTTATGGTGTCTATATCCATAATCTATTTTTAAATGTTCATKATGTCGCATTGATGGTTTTTAGGAATTCTGAATACCCTCATGCTTGTTTATACCATATTACAGATGAAAGTTAAGAGTTGGAGTAAGTAAGTTCACCTCTTTTAAGCTGCACATAACTCGTAAGGGGAAGAGAGCAAATCTGTTAAACTAGAAGAAAAAAATGAAGATATTTCAGCACTCCCCTTCATGACTTTTCTTGGGCGTGATGCCAAAGGAGAACAGGATGTTAAGATTCACTGACAGGACTAATGAGAAAGTGCAGTAWAAATAGTTTGTATTATATGAACATACCTGTTATTCCACTAAAACAAMTGTAACATTTGACTGGGAGAACAGGGATGGGGAAAGRAAGATGGAGATGCGATGATCTTCYCATGAGTGTGCTGCTAGTCTAAGGSATCCCACTAGCAGSGGGCTAGACTTGTTTACAGAACTGGTCACGATGACAAAAGTTTTGAAGAAAAATAATAAAGCCACAGCTATGCTGATCTTGAAGCCAAACTTGTTGCTATAATTTCTCTTGACAAATCTTCTCCTACTTTGTTTTTCCCCTACTGTAAAAACATTCGTTAAGTCTCTATCTCCTGGCTGTGAGGAAAAARGACAAGAATGAGTTTATGCACTCACTTCTGCTCCAGCGTGTATAGTTCTTAGCTTTGAGTCTTTGCTTTGCTGTAATGTTAGTGCATCCTTACTCTGGGCTTTTGCTGGACTGCCTTCGATGTTTCAGGTGGGACATAAAATTACTGAAAATGAGTGTCTAAGCTTGGATCTCACTAGGGAGCTCGTGGTTACAGTGTAAGTCCCTGACACTCTTCGTAAGACCTCTACCTCACTGCAGGATTGCTATTACTGAGGAGGGGTGTAGATCCTCTTTAAAAACTATACTGCTTGACTAGTTCCTGTCAAACCTGCATTAAATTGCATCGAAGAGGAAAAGGTAATTAACAACAACAATGTTTCAGCACTTAGAGCTTCTCCCCCTATTTTTCATTAGGGAATACAATTAGGTCAAATAATAAAAATGTCAAACCTCCTTCATAACATGTATGGACTCTTGCTGACTACTTTGCTCAGCTTCTGTTCAGCCTGTTATCCTCTCCCTAAGACTTCATTTGCTTTAAGAAGGCAGRCTGTAAAGGGGGGCTGAAGTGAAGATGTGATACTTGCTTTTCTTTGCTGCAGAAGAATGAAKTTGTTTGGTCAGTAAAAGAGTGTCTTTTTTTTTTTAATTTACAGTAGACACATTCTGAATTTCAAGGACAAATTTGGGAAGAAGGCAGCACTTCTGCTCTAAATAATTTAGGTATTTACACCCAACTTGTCTTCTGCTTTTATTTATTCACTTTGCTGAGGTGTGGTAAGTCTAGAAATACAGCACAGCACTAACTGGAGTCAAATCCCAACCTGTTCCAAAGCTCTTCCCTGAGTGACAAATGCCTTTAAGAATACATTTCACATGAGTATTTGCTAAAGGAACTAGCTGCAGTTGCAGTAAAAAAAGTCATAGGCTTTATTGTAAAGACATTAAAACTGAGAGCACAAGTACCTCCCACACCCCCATAAGAAACCTGTGGTGGATGATGAGAGTTCTGCTTCGAGCAGGTACTCCACAGCTGGGAGCCTGAGCAGGTCCTGGCAGTTGGAAGAGAAGACCAGCTTCCTTGAGGGTTTATAGTGAATCCGCAACATCATCATCAGTCCATTCCTCCTAGCAGAAGAAAAGGAAAGAGCCTGGGCTGAGCCGTGTAGGCAGCTGGGAGATTTTGCTGTTAGGTGGGCCACCCAATAACTAGCTACACATWCATGCTACTGCTGCACCCTGAGTAGATAACAACTTCTGCACATGGCAGTTAAATTAATTTTAAAGCTCTTCATAGGGGTATCTTTCAACCTTAACTACTATTACTAACAAGCATTTAAGTAGTAAACTTGAACTATGTTTAATCATAGTGCAAGATTTTATCTTGCACAAAGTGCATGCTTTGTCATAATCCAGCTTACTTGACACTCCTTTTTGCAGGGGGACTTCTGGAAGAAAAGGTGGAAAGCAGGGCCTGGGTTGCATTACACACCTACCCTCTTAATGCTGCTAACGAGGAAGCAACACAGACAYGATGAGCTCTACATGGATATTTGGAGTAGCTAAACTCAGTGGGAACTTCATCTCATTCATTCAAGTACAGCAGGAGGATCTGAATGGGAGCCCAACTTAAGGCCTCATGGACAACAGTTGATGAAGAACTTAGAGGGAACATCCTCTCCCATCTATCTGTAAGCACAGCATAACAATCTTTATGCTGTCCCTAGCCAGTTACGGAATTCCGATTAAGTTTTTCTCTCTGGAATCATAAGGGAGATTTTATATATATATATATATATATATATATATATATAAAAAAATCCTCCATATATTTTTATATATATATATATGTATATATATAAAGGGGTGAAAAAGAAACAATTTAGTCAAATAAACGTAGCAGAGGGAAGACTTTATTCTCAGCTAATAGTGACTTATCTTAGAGCACAGGATTGAAATGGGTCTAACTCATTAAACAGRTCTAACTTCTTGCTTCTACAACTCTGTGTTTTTCATAAAAGGATTAAAAAGCTCAACCCTGTGTTCCTTATGTCCAGGATTTAGCCCCCCCTAGTTGAACATGCAAACTAGAACCTAAAAAGCCATTTAAGTTAGAGGTGACTAAGTACTTTTATTTAATATTAAAAAAAAGCAGTTTATCCCCATGAACTCTAAAAGCCATACAGTCTCAGGCTTTTTATCAGCCTTTTTGAACACCTGTTTGCAGTTTATCTCATCCTTCCTCATTACTGAGGAGTAGGCACAGAATCCCAAGCACTCAGAGTGAAGCCTTCTACCAGGAGCCCTTTTTACAGCTTCACTTTGGCAGTTTAGTCATCTGGCCACTCAGGACCTGTGGACTCTTTCTAGCATAKCAAATTGATGAGCCCTCCCTCTGTATTGGTATTAGGCTCTTTGTAGCAGTATTAACACCAGYAATAAACTGGTAGATCCAAACCGAACTGTTAMAAGTAGATTTGGCTTATTTTTTAGAAACTAGCAGAAAGATTTCTGAATAGTATCTAAAATTATTATTAACTGAGATTTAAAAAAAAGTCACTATTTGTGTCATTTTTGYCTTGGCAGTAATTAAGAGGGTAAAAAAAGCAGTACTTGTACAGTAGACTTACTGACCTCATCCATTTTAGATTTCTTTGTTATATATTCATCATCTTCATAACCTTTCCTCTTCCTCCTACACTCCAACCAGAAAAAAAGTGAAATATATAAGCATTTTTAGAGCCTTCTTTGGCCACTGCATTTAAAATAGGTACATAATATGATGTGCCACATATCAAGCTGCTAAAGTAGTCTAAATTTCTTATTTTCTAATTCTGCTAGAAGCTTGCAGTTGAGTACTAAAGTGAAAAGGGCATAATACTCTACAGAAAGCAGAAATCAAGCGCTTGCAGTCCACATAGATGCCTTAAGATGACATTAAAATTTAAACAATTTTTTCTTTCAATTAAGTCATTTTGAAGACATCAATTGGCATTATGGCATTATTAATATAATATAATATTAATAATTAATGGCACTAATAGTTGGCATTAATATTGCCATTATTATAATAAAGAGGTCAGGTGTTAAAAGCCATCCCCAAACTCGATAAACACTACTCCTGCTTGCTGTGCAAATGGGCACAAAGACTGTATTTACACTCACAGCACTACTAGAAACAAAGGATCAAAACTTTTAAACTAGCAGAAACACAGCAACGATTTGAACAAACAAACATCCTCATTTAGATGGTTTAATTTTCATTCACTTATTCAGATTAGGGAAAAGTAAAGTCTCCAAAATAGTTAAAAAAAAAAAAAAAAGAAAAAAACCCAAGAGTTAAAGCACTGAGGAAGTGTTAAAAGATCTACTTACGGGTTTACATTAAGTGAAAGGTCCAAGCTGTGACATTTCTCCAATTTTTGTTTTAGAGCAGCCACTTCTTCAGGCTTTGGTAGTTCATATTTCTTTATGAGATTTTTCATGCCTATGGTGGCAACAACACAGCCTTAAGCTAATTAWGCAATTTCTGCTCCACTCTGTGAATTACACAAGGTACTAGCAATCAGTGGCTACCTATGGCTACAGCCATTGCTTATCCCTTATGCTTAGACCAGTACTTTACAGTTCCCTCCCTCTTTAAAACAAYGAGCACAGTAAACGGCTTTGAGCAGTTTCTAATAAAAAGACTTCACCAAAATCAGGACAACATTCAAGGAAAGCAAAGTCAGCCCAGTTTTCCCACTGCTTCTTACTAATGGAAGCAGGAAGACTACATCGGTTAGTAGAGAGGAAACAATATCTTATGTTTACAAATCCAGTTTATTTTGAATGTAGACACTGGTGACCAGCGTGAGGTATTCGCTACTGAAGTCAACTTAGTTGAAAGATTAGCTTCTTAATGCTCCCACTCTTCCATTTTATATGCACACATTCATTTGAGACATTACAGAACTTACTGAAGAGGCTGCTTACTGAAAAATTCCTCATTTAGCCTTTTGTTCAATTACGCTGAATAACCACAGAATGTAGAACAATCACAGTCCTTGCCAGGCAAAAAMTTCTTTCAAACCATCCTTATAGTCTACAAAATGTAAGTGATAGCTAAACTCTAGCAGTTCACTTAACTTTAATGATTTATTTTAGAAAAGGTACCCTCTGGTGGCAGAAGTAGTTACGTGCAAGCTTTTGCCAGAAGCTACACTTAAAAAAAAAAAAAAAAAAATCACAGTGAAAGGAAGAATTTAAGCAATAGAAGTATCTAGGGCCCGAAACAGACTTTGCGCTTTTGAATGCGAGTTATTCACCAGCATTTAAATGACTACAGTTCATCAGGCCTATTTTAACACTGTTTGCTTATGTCAAAAATAATTTTGAGCATTTGCTCCATTTGCTTCCTGCGGAGTGCTTCATTTTATTGCCCATGATTTACTTAATGCTATCTCTATTTAAAGAACATTTTTCTGCTCAAAGCTTGACAGAAAAGAGTTTTTTTCCTTAGAGATAACAGTGTATGCTATTTTTCCAATGTTTACTTACATTTCATGCCATCTAGTAGCTTGGTTAAGGACGTTCTGTTTTCTTTCAGCATAAGACTRTCTGATAAATAACTAAAGAAAAATSAAAGATTAAGTTTGAAGTTCTTAAAACATGTCATTTACACTTTTTATTAATTAGTAGTAGCTGCCAAAAGTGCTGTTTATCACAGGGTAARCACAGGATAAACTACAACCAATGGAAGCAACACTCCTCACCAAGTTCCATAAGAAGTCTTTCCTTTTCTAGAGAGAGCATGCACTCAAGTTTCCAAGATCTTCCAATGTCTATTGCCTTAAACTTTAGTTAATATACAGACCTAAAGTGACCTATTACTCGCAGCTTCCAGTCTGAAGCAAAAGGCCACCAAGAAAATAATTTCTGTAAACTGACAGCTGCTCTTTTAGTATCGCTGCTCTGGTAGCTTAACAGGTAACTGCAACATTAGTTTCCATCGCACCTAGTGGCTCCCAAGCTTGCTTGGAGTAACAAGGGACCAGACTAAGATTCAGCTTCTCTTGAACACGCAAACAAAGTTCCCACGCTCCAATTCTAATACTATTTACATATCATTCTAGGTTTTTTTTTTCCTAAGCATGCTTTTCTGAATCACAGCATAAAAACAACTATATGTTTAGGATTTAAGTCAGCAACTTTAAAGTTCGGATAAGGAGCTGAGTATTTTTATATTATTCTTAGAGGATAGTGAACATAGCACAGGCCCTTCCCCACACCAACGTACACTTTTAAAAAGCCACCAATTTAAAGCAGCACCTTTCAGTTGGTCCATTTTCATGGAAATCACACTGTTGGAACAGCCGAATACAGTTCACTGTTTCTGCATACCTAGCTGTCTGTTAAAGAGAAGCTTCCTTTGACTTTGAAGTCTTAAATGTCTTACTGTTTAAAACATATCTAAGTGTTTCTTTAAGGTGCTTTTTACCCACAGTTCCCACTCTTTCAGTTTTCTTCACTCATTTGTCAAGATCAGTCTGAAAATCTTGTTGTAACTAGGACAAAGTCAATTAGAAAAAGAAAAAAAAATAGRAAAAGCTCAGCCAGCTAACTATACATCTCCTACTTTCGGAATCAAAAAAAAATAGCTTCAGTTTTCATTAAAGAATACACCAGATGTGCTAATRATCAGTAAATACATGCTTGCACTTACTACTTAGGAATGCCTAAAACAAAATAGCATTGTTTGCAACATGTTGCTACAACACAGGAAGGAAGCACTTTAAGCATACCTGTGAAGAAAAAAAAATAAGGCCTACCTTTCCATATTAATTCCTGCTCTTGAAGCACTAGATAATATAGAAGTGAGAGCTATTTGTGAGGGAGTAAAGAGCAGATATGCATCTGTCAGAGCTACTCGGTTAAGAAAATCATCAGCTGTTTTCCTCAAAACTTCAGGATTCTCTAGCATTGGATAACGAGTCTGGAGAAAAAAAAAAAAAAAAAAAAAAAAAAAAGTATTTATGAAAGCAGGCAGCTGCTCCTGATCTTCACAAGTTCAAAAAAACAAATCCACAGTGCTGCATGAAGGAAAATGCAGCAGGTCAGCTTATTCTGAAAGACAACCCAAAATGCTTAGAGATCCTAACATAGGCAGGTGTCCGAAAGGAAGTCTATCATGTTAGGACCTAGATCTTTCRAAGCAAAGAGACAAAAACAACTTAGTTCTTCTAATATGATCCTAAAAGTGGTTACATTGCATCAGCATATGGCATACATAGCACATAAAACAGTATTACCTTCAAGTCAATTAAAAATCCTTCAAAGGGTCTGTATGGATTGTGCACAATAAGATGGAAGTTCAGCTGCTGAATTAGTAGTAGTTCATATTCCAGTATCTGCTCAAGAGTTTTTTCCTGCCCTAGAGGGCTTTCTCGAAGGTTACCAACAAACTGTGCACTGGATACATTAAATTCATCTACTTTACATGCCAAAAATGCACATGTAAGCCTTGAGAAGAGAGGAAGGGAGGAAAAAAAAAAAAAGTGAAAAACTAACATCCATCAGCACCTACCTCATTRTCAAAAATTCATTCAGAAATTTCAAATCTTCAGACACCATGTTTAGAACACGGTAAGCTTCACCAATTAGAAAGTGGCTATTTTCTGTCTTTACTTGTGTTTAAGCTCTTTAAACTTCTCTTTTAATTTCTTCCACCTTTGCAAGTACAAACATTATGCTTCTTAGTGTTCTACTGAACACAGTACCTCAAGATGTGTTGATAACTCACTCACATTATTGTCCGAGGATGATACTCCATCACTGAGTTATTGAGGTAAAAGCGCTTGAAATACATACAAGCTGTTCCCTACATAAAAAAAGGAGGAAAGGGAGAAGTAAGTACAGAAGCAAAACTAGACTTAAAAAATGTAAACAGAACAAATAATTGTAAGTATACAGTAAAGCCAAGAAAACACTAGGGCTACAAGTAGAGGCACATGCTGCCATGTCAATAAGTACCTCACAGTATTATCCCTATAGGGATCTGACAAAGTGGTAGTTTGGTTAATTTATCTTCCAGACTGCAGATTCAGATCCAGACCCGGGTTCTTTCCTCCAGCTACAGTTCCAGTTTGATTGGAACCCCATGAGCATATAACCAGGCATTCAACAACATTATCTCACMGAAAACAGACAAAAAGCAAAAACAATTTTTCAAGTACCGCTATACTTGGGGGGCAGGGGGGCAATTAACACTCAAAGGACGTCTGTACTTTCAGAAACAAGCAAGCAGCAAATGCAGGAACAAGCAACACTGAGGGACAAGCCTGGCAGCTTCGTTAGCCGTGCCCCTGCAGACACCGCTCACTGGACGCACACCAAACCACCCTGGAGAGGCGGCAATGCCCCAAGCAACCCCTTCTTAACGGAAGCGCCCGCGGTGTCACCAAGGGCAGCTGCTTCTCAGAAGGCGAGGCCCAAACACGTCTCCTTACCACCACAGAGCGGGGCATGGCGGGCTTAAAGACAGCACAGAAATCCAGCAGCCTTTTCTCGTAGTACTTGCATATCGCCAGCTCCTCATGCGGCTCCAGGAGGAAGGAGTCCGCCTGCTGAACCTGTGGGGAGCAAAACCGCTCCTGAGCCCGGCGCCGCCTCGGCGCCCGGCGGGCCCCTCCGCTCCGCTCCGCCCCGCACCTTGCCGCCCGCCGCCGCCTTGCCGCGGAACTTGCGGTTCGCCTCGGCCCGGCAGCGCGTCAGCTCCTCCTCGCTGCGGAACGTCCAGTGCCGGCGCTGCGTGCTGCTGTGGTACATGATGGCGGCCGCAACGGCAACGGCCACGCTCGCGCACCTGCGCACGCGCCCCACGCGCCGCGGCCACTACAACTCCCAGCGCGCCCCGCGCGCCCCGACCCGCCCCGGCAGCCCAGCATGCGCCGCGCCGCTCCGCCCCTGCGGGCGCGCCCCTCCCGGCAGGCTGTGCGGTCGCGGCGCGCGGAGCGTGTCGGGAGCTGTAGTTGGAGGTGGCGCGCGCACGCTGTGGCGGTTGGACCTCGTCAGCTCGAGGGCTGCGGAAACGTCTCTGTGAAACCAAATCCCTCGACGATACCCATGAGAAAACACTTCACATTGGAGTCAGGARTCGGAAGGAGGTTAATTAGGAGATGCTTGGCCTGGGTTTATTGCTCGCAGCAGAGGCAGATGCTGGTGGGTGCCCAGGCAGCCCTGTGGTGTGGGTGCCCAGGCCCAGCCGGCGATCCCTGGCGAGGAGGACTGGTTGCCGGTTGCTTTCGGCGCTGCGTGCGCAAAGGATGCGGCAGCAGGGGCAGTCTGGAGGCCTGCATGCTGTGAGCATTGCCCCGGTGGCCAGGAGCACCCACAGTGTGCGGTATCCCCTGTGATGGCCGTGGATGTGAAGCATAGTTTAGGGGACGTGGTGCTTCCCTGAGCTTTCACACCTGCAGCTGGAATTAACTGCGTGTGCTGACAGCAGGTTATCTGACTGCAGTACGAAGGTGTCTAATGCAAAGTGGTTTAACGTGAGCCGGGGCAGAGCGGGGAGCTCAGCTCCCTGTCGGATGTGGATCACTGAAAGGGCAGCGTTGCCGGCTGAGACCCTCAGCGGAGCCGGCGCTGCCACAGGGCTGAAAGGAGGATTGCTCTGAGCTCGTGCTGCTCGTCTGCCATGTGGAGCCTGGGACCTGGCGAATTGGTTATGGCTCCCAGCCTTGAGCTCCTGGCAGTGCTGAACTGGAATTTGCTTGAGCGAGTGGAAAATGCACCTGCAATTATCCAGTCCAGTCAAGGAACTGACTCAGGGCCTGTATAATGGTTCTGGATAGAGAGAACAATGAGAATTTTATACATTTTTTACAATAAAATCAGACAGCTTTGGGCTCAAGGAATTTGAAAGCTTTGGCATATCTCTGATGATGGATGCTGAATATAATAAACATTATAAAATCATTGGCAGAATCGGTGTAAAGGACAAGAAAGATACAGGTTATCATTCAGATTACTACTATCACTAACACAGGCTTGTCCTGGATGCACTATGTGACCCACAGACAACTGGATGCTCCAAGGACACTTACATTTGATCCGGCCAACCTTGCAAGCTGAAGCCTAGACCTCCATTTGAGCATGTGTGCAGGTAGGCAGAAGATTCTCAACTGCATTATACGTGATGGTGAAAAATTGCTCTTTCGGGTTAAAATCTAAATCTTTAAAAATCTAAATCTTTAAAATCTAAAGATTTTGAAGTTTAGTCAGGTATGTAAAATAGATAAAATACTGATTATTACCAAAATACATTATTTTTTTTCCAAAGCTAGAGGGAAAAAAAGAAGTAAACCCAAAGAATGTAAGAGAAACTATAAGTTATTACAAGGTAGTAGGAATAATATGTATAGTGAAATGGGCAGAGTTGTGAAGAGAAAAAAAAGGGCTTACAATATGAAGCAAATGTTCAGTTTTCTCACAGTTCTATGTATATCTTGAAACATAGTGGGAAAGAAAGGAAATGGGGAAAAATAGAAGAAAGAACAAAATACATATAATATACATACAGCTAGGTCAGATGCAGATACTTTTCCATATTGAGAGCACTGCTTTTATTTGCAGAACATCACAAAATGGTCTTTATTGAGTCCTTTGGAGTCACATTTTAGCTTTTATAGGGAGCTGGCACAAGAGGACTACATCATGGAGTATCTTACTTTGTAGGAAACCCTGGAAATTGAAATGACTACTTTTTTTTTTTTTTTTTTTTTGTGAACAATCATGTATCAGAAGGTCATGTTGCCCTGCATGACAACTCGGTGTGATGTGGGATGCTTGAGGCTCTAGCATGCTAATGTTACAGAAGTTTTATCTTGTAATGCAATAACCTTTATATTTCTGTTAAAGTAATGCATAACTATAAAACACAACTTTCTGCTTTTTTGACCTTCTTAAAAGTGCCATGAAGTGTGCTGACGTTGAAAAGAAAGTCACTTGTTCCCAATGCACATCGCTGTTTAGTTTTCATCTCTGGGAAGCTATAAAACTGTGTAATTTATCAATATCAAATAATAATACAGTTAATATATAAAAAAGAAAGTAAGAAATCACTTATGTTATACCAAATGAAATCAATCTTGGCGAGTTTTCACAGAAATATGCAAGAAGAAATGTTCCTCTACCAATTCTTCTAGTCTCTGCTSCTATGTAATGTCAGGTTTGATTTCATTATTGTTAAATCATATCCCATAACTTGATGTATAGTCTCCATGAATATCTCTATGACGGTGATTTAACAACTTGTCTTGGTTGCTTGTCCCATTGCTTCGCCAGTCAGGCAGTTCTCTCCAATATTTTGCATACTTTCACTGTTGCCACTTACATTTTTGGTAATTACTCAGTTTCCTTTAAATAACCAGACTAATAACATTGATATCTAGTTACCATTCAGAGTGCTTTTTTTCAAGACAGAGCATACTTAGTTTTCAAAACTTTATTTCCTGATCTTGCTTTGTAAACCTTTTGCCTCTCTGACTTTCTTTTTTGTTATTGCTAAGTTTAAAAGTGACAAATAAATATAAAAATGATGAGGATTCTGACACTCGTACTGTTCCTGCTAAAGCTGGGATGCCCCAGAGCTGCAGATCAGAAATTAAAATTTAAGGTCTTCTTGAAAACATCGTATAAGGATAATGATAACTTTGGCAAAAAAAGCAAATTATAAACTTTTTCAGAGTAATAGCAGTATCAGCTTCTCTTTCAGTTTAATCCTTAACAATCCTTAAGCCTACAGGATCATACTTACTCCCTTTAAGTTCTTCAGTAGTTTCTTGCTCTCCTAAAATAATAATGACATAGCCAATTAAGTTATGAAAGTAGCATATGAAAGCATCTCTGCTTTGGCAACCAAATTTAAGTATTCCTGCATATGTATTTGAAAGGAGTGAGATAACTAGATGCTTCCAGTTAAAAACATGCAGGCGCTTGTAGGGCCAATAGTTAAAATGCTTTCTGGTGCTCTGAAATGTGGAAAATGCTTTTCCTAAGCTATGTAAGGAATGTTTTCAACATCTGCATGGTCAGAATCTGTCACTTCTTTATATTCAAGTGTAACAGTTGAACTTTAGTCTGAAATCTGTAGCTGAAACAAGATAACAGTTTGATTTTTCAAGGGCTGTAGATAACTAGATGGTAAGGATACCAAAAGAAGTATACTTCTGTTTGTGCATCCARTGATAGTGGAGACAGGCAAATTTAGATAACCCAATTGAAAATGTGATCATAAAATACTAAGCCAAGCTCCCATGCAAGTCTGTTATGAAGCTACATGCGGAACCAAGGGTTCTCTCTTTCTAGTTTTGTGCTTTACCTATAACACTCTTCACATCAGCACCATTTTAAATTATTGTCCCTTAGTTCAAACAGTTAACAAAAAGTACAAATGATGCAGTGTGGTTGAGTTATATGCAAGTGACAAAATCACAGAATTACATGGGTTACATTAAGAATGTGTACGGTAGGAATAAAGTAGTTCTTTACACAAATGAGAAAGATACCACAGCAACTGAAGTTGTTTCAGAAACTTAAATCTAAAGCTCAAAAATACAGCAACTTAATTGTAAAATTCAGATCTGCTTGTAGGGCAAACTGTCCATAGGAAAGAAAACTAGAAATACAGCATTATTCTTCATAACTAGCTGTTATTGTCAGTAAGTTATTGTCAGTTGCCTTATCCAGTCAAATGTAAATATTTGCTGACTATAAATATATTTTCTTCTGGTGTTAAGCATCACATGTACTGGCACATCTGTTCAGAACCGAAAAAGTAGTAAAATAACAGAGCAAAACTTGTGAGATAATAAATACAATCTAGTTGCTTAGACTTTTGATAGTGCACYCAGCAATTACTCAGAAAAATTACCTGAAGATATAAATAGCATCCACTATCCTGGGCTAAAGCTATTTTGGCTCAGAAATCAAGAATCCTTTGCTAAACAGGAGCAAGAAAGTGTGATAGTAAATGGAGCATAACTAACTTGCTTGTGTAGRAAGTATGACAGAGAGATTCCTCCCAYGTATTATCYGAACAGTCTCACCCGCTCTTAAGGATAAAGTTTCACRTATATCCACTTACTGGAAGATAGGAGTTTCCTTGAGAACAGTTTTGGTGAAAAGTGTGTGATGGGAGGTGACAAATTTGAAGTTTGCATAGAGAGAGAAATATGGTTTAATGATAGAGCTCAGAGATATGGGGTCATTTGAAAGGAAAGAGCTTTCAGTATCTTTGCTTAAAAATTACGTTCTCTGTTAAAATCATTAAAAAATGTTCAATGCCACAATAAAAGTTGTGACTTAAGACTAAACAATGTCAGAATTATGTTACCATCATGATTGTYATGAAGGTCAAATTGTGGTTTCTAATGTATAATCCAATCGACTGGAAATTAGAAATCAGGGCCTCTGTTGGTGACTTGCCATCTGACATGAGATAGATGATTTTTGTCTTCAAGTTTCCCATATTTCAGCTGAGGTTGATGCTAATTAACCTACTTTTTTTTTTTTTTTTTTTAACAACTACAAATGAAAATGCTCTACAATGGCCTCTGAATGTTAAAGAATTATATTGATACCATAAAGGAGATATAAACCATGCTTATTATAGTGGGCTATTATACATTTTATTATAGTACACACTGCGGTGTTTTCACTAGCATAAATCAAAGATGGAAAAATGCAGAAAAATTAGTGTCACATATATTCTAAAATTGTGGAGGAACTCGGAGGAGCAGCATTTCCCCAAAATGGGAATCTCC